ATATAGTTCTTGACCTTGAGTCTTCATTCTTACTATGATGTGGCACTTGTGTGATCATCCTGCTAACTTGCGCTTTGCTCTTTGTTTCAGATCATTGCTTGACGATTGCGATTACAGATATGCCAAAAAATCACTCACTGAATGACCTTGTACAACCAATCAGGACAACCACATAATAATAATAATAATATGCCTTGCTGACGAGTGCCAACTAACACGAAACCTAGGTCAAGCAAGGCTTCCTGCCGATTGTCTCCAACTATCTAATAGCATCAAATCAATATGCTCCCTGATGGCGAGCTACCTAGTATGGTGGCCACATTGAGATCCTGACTGATAGAATTCAGTCTGCACCAGAGAAAGGGCTAGACACGTCGCACTAGTTACTAGTGTCCAATCATAATAATAGTACTACAGGAATTGTTAGGAGCTTATACCTAAGGCGATTAAACGAAGAAAATTAAAATTAAACCCCATAACCTAAACCCTCACCTTATAACTAAATCTAACCCTGGTGCCACCTTAAATATAGCTTAATCCTTAACCCAGAGCCTAAACGAGTGCGTTTATAAAATGCCTTAACGACGTCGCTCATTGTTTCATGGCTGTTCCTGTAATAACTTTAGCTACTAGTCCGTGACTGTAATTAGTGCTTCATGTTATATCTAGGCTTTATGTTTCAAAGTTAAACACATTAAATCTCAAATTTACGATTTTATGCTGCTACATAATGTCTATTGCATCAGGAATACTTCGTGTTTTTACTTGTATCCTATTGGCGCCCATTCAAACTGGGGTATTTTAGAGGTGTCCTAGTGAAAGAAATCAAGATGGAATTGCAGAAGTAACTCGAGAATGCATGGAATACAATGGCTGTTGAAAGAGGAACAATCCAATTGGTAGTTTTGTACAAGCTTATTCAGTAGGTCGTTAGCTTGTCGTTGCGATATTTTATGTTTTATTATAAATTTTTCTTTTGGTTGATTCGGATTTTCAACACAAATATGAAGTCAGTCAGTTCTCCTATATGGGTTAGAAACTTGACTCCCGTCTCACGAAAAACATTTCCAACAGGCTACGCCAGACTTTTATCAACAGTTGCATTCGCTCCATACTGAAGACCAGGTGGTCAGAAAGAATAAGCAACAAGAAACTCTGGCTGGCAAATAACCAACCAAGAGCCGGTTGCTTAACAAATATGAGGGAGAAAATGGAAATGGATTGTGCTTACGTTGAGGAGGCTGCCTAATGACATCGTGCTCAGTGCAGGCCATCACTCGAGTAGAACCCGAATGGAAAATGTCAGTGCAAGGGTGACATGGATGAGGTCGTCAGAGGAGGAGATGGGAGATTACGGGCAATCGTGGGCCCAGGCAGTTAAAGAGGATAGCAGAAAATAGGACAAGGTGGAGATGTGTTGTTGAAGCCGTATTTTCCACTCCGAACCCAAGGGAACAATAATAATAATCTACAGAGTCAAGAATAACCTACCAAAGGCAATACGGTTTCGCCTTCTTTGTATCGCTGAAGCTCTAGCCATTCACATAGAAAAACCGGAGCTGTGCATACAAAAGAGAATTACTCAACTACTTCTACTGTCATGGTAACAACTTGCTTGATTTTGATGGCTTCATTTTGTTTGTTTGCTTGTTTCTTTAATTGCTTGTAATTTTTGTATTCATTTAGAACTCTTACGTAATTTCATTCCTATGTGTATCCTGAGCACAACTCAATTATCAAACTATTCATATTATTACATAACTTCTTTTTAACAACTGTTTGTGATAACTTATCACCTTTGTTACTACCCTAATTACATTAACACCTAATTTTCTTGACTGATTTTGTATTACGTAACTCCAAATATCAATCTTCACCTGTTTAGTTAAAATAACCATAACCAATTGTACAGTAGGTTGAAGATGAGGCGGTAACTCATCGAAGAAGACATTGCGAAATGGTCGCGCTATGTCGTGAATTGGCAGAAGTTAGAATTCAAGGACCATTGGATCTGGTCCCAGTGGCTCATTGGTCTACGAGCTCGCCTTGTAACCAGAAGGTCCTGGGTTCGAATCCCGGTGGGTGCGTACTGATGAAGAGTCCCAAAATAGGACGAAACAGCTGTCCAGCACTTCCAGGTTTTCCAATGGTTCTCTAACTAAAGTCAGCTCATGATGAAATCCTCCATGGAATCATTTGTGTTTTGTTTGACAGACACACACATACGAAACAACCATATATTTGCGATTGTACAGCTAAGAAAATGAATTCGCCAAAAAGAGACTCTTCGGCGAACGACGTGTTTTGTTTTCATTGATGTCTGGATGGAGATTATCCATGAATAATTTGGTTCTCAGGGTTTTGATTGGTTACAGGTTTGATCACGAGCTGACATTAGTTGAAGAATCGTCGGAAAGCCAGGGAATGCTGGACAGCTGTTCCGTCTTAGCTCCAGACTTTTCATCAGTACTCACCCACCGGTTACAAGGTGAGCCTATAGACCATTAGGCCAATAAGACCCAATCCAACGGCCCAAGAATTCTAACTTCTGCCAGTTCACGACGTAGGCGAGTAAATTTTCTCTTACCTGACTAGTGAGACGGCGCTAATTACGACTTCTCACTGGAGTTCCAGATAACTTCCCGCATTAAACCAGTGCCTGGTGAGCATTAGATTAATCACCAATTGTTGGTTTGTAGGGATTTGATCGACTGTAGATTTTATATTTGCCTTAAAAGGTAAATACTCTAGAATTTCACGCTACAAGATAAATTTACAAGTTGTAATTTATGTAGGTTTTATTAGTTGGTTAGATAGGGGGGGATTGTCAGGAATCCCTGCATGACCTAAGTCCCGTACTTGCTGGCAGTCGTCAGCTTAGCTAATCTGGGTAATCTTAGAGGAATTCTCATCTATTCTGGGATTCAAAGCCGCACCACTTAGTGTCACAGTCAGAGACGTTACCACTGTGATCTGTTCTGTCTCGCATTTGATCTCCGGTACGACTGCAATAGATACTTTTATTCTTCACTAAGTGTAACCAAAAAATTGCTTGGAAGATCCAGCTTGAATGATCTAATTACAATATTTATACTCATTTGGATGTTTCAACTAACTTTGTAATTACTTGTTTTGTACTTAGAAGATTTCCTGGACTGTATAGCTGCCTAACGGCACTGTTGAGATAATTTCAAGTCTTTAATGTTGATATTGTTGAATAGAAAGAAAGATTCCATCAATGAATAGTCGTCTTTTTGCTGTCTTTGAAGCGTTTGGCGGACAAGTTAAACTTTAAGCACCACTAACTACCAATGGAGTGCGACCACACCAGTGACCTTGAAACGCTCACTGAGCAAGTCAATGAAACCTGGCAAATAATGTTGTCATCATCAATAAAATATGCTCATCGAAGTGTTATGCTATTAAATGGGATTTCTGGCAAGTTTCAGCTTAGGTTTGAGAAAGATTAAGTTACGCTTTAAGCCAAGGACAAGTTAGGGTTAGGTTAACCTAATGAGGGCGACATTAGGGTTGGTTCGAGTTAGATTACAGTTAGTTTAGGGATACTTTCAAGTTAGGGTTAGGTTGAGGAAAGATTAAGGTTGTTGTCAGGTTTAGAAGAGTGTGGTTAAATTACTCTGTTGATATAAGAATAGAATCTATGCACTGTGGCAGAGTATAATTCCATTGTGAGTAAAATTTATTTTGATAAAGTCTCACGGTGTTATACAGTAATATTTACACCACCAACAGCAACAACAACAACAGACAACAATCAGCATAAATGGGAGGAATCTGAAAGAAACAACTTCTTTTGCCTACCTACCTGGGAAGCATCCTTTCAACTACAGGCGGAACTGACGAGGATATCACAGCAAGAATCGGAAAAGCAAGACAAGCTTTCACTACTCTCAAGTCTGTGTGGTGGTCAACAACACTCAGCATCAAAAATAAGTTCCGGATTTTCAACTCCAATGTGAAGTCAGTGCTACTCTACGGATGGATCAGAGACTTGGCGCGTCATAAAAAGCATCTCAAACAAACTACAGACCTTCATTAACAGCTGTCTTCGTTCAATACTCAAGATCAGATGACCAGCCAGAAAAGATCAGCAACAGGGATCTCTAATAGCAAAGCAACCAGGAACCGATTGTGCAACAAATATGCAGAAGGAAATGGAGATGGATTGGCCATACTCTGAGGAAGCCATCAAGTGACATCACTAGACAAGCCATTGCTCGAGTGGAACCCGAAAGGGAAGCGGCGAGTTGGTCGTCAGTGCAAGGGTGACTTGGAGGAGGTCATGTGAAGAGGAGATGAAAGCATGTGGGCAGACATGGAGCCAGGTGAAGACTCCAACAGAGAACCGAACGCAATGGATACGCACGGCTGAAGCCCTATGTTCCTCTAGGAATTAAAGGATGGAATAATAAATAATAATAATAATTTACTGATGAAGTTTTGAGCACAATTTATTGCTCATTAAATATTACTGTATAACACTGTGAGACTTTATCAAAATAAATTTTACCCACAATGGAATTATGCTCTGTTGATACTCCAACCTAAAACTGAGAGCTCCTTCTATCACATGTGGGAGAAAGGTATAATGTATAACACTTTTGTACAGTTTCTATGGATTTTTTCATAAATATATATATTCCATAGACATACAATTCCTCCTTCACGTGATTGGTGCGTTCGAGGTCGTTCACTGCTTGGTAGGCAATTAGTGGTGCTTAAAGTTTAACTTTGCCCGTTTAGCGAATGTGCGCCTCTCAAGGAAGTTTCGATCAGCTGTACAGTAGGACGCAAAGATCGGTCTCCTGCGTTCAGATCACAACACCTAGCTTTGGATAGTAACACTAAATGGTAGCTAATGTTGTGCATCTAATTCTTGATGCCGATGTAGACTAAATTTTATCAGTACTGTTTGAAAATTTTCCCTTCATCTACAATCAGTAAAGCAATAACATCAACTCTAGTACTTTTTTTTACTGTATGTATGTATTTTTTCTTAAAACACATTTTACTACTGACAATTTTAGTTATCCTATCCAGCAGGAATAAGCATTAGATTGTCCTTTAAAATTTAAACAAAATCACTACGTTTATCCAATAATTGTGGTGTCTGTTGAACATCCGCCTTTTTACGTTGTTTCACTTTGCTGTCGTCAGCGGATGTTTTCAATGTTTCAACTTGAGCATCAACTTTCCCTTCAACAACATCTTGTTTTAATGGTGATTTCTTTGTTTCAATTGGTTGTTTTACATCAGTTGGAGTCTTTTTTAAAACAGATTTAACACCGGTCTCATGCGTATCTTTTGCTTTGTCCAGTGAAGATTTAATTGTTCCAAATGATGATTGAAGCAGTGATTGTGATGTTGTTGGTTGTTGCGTTGGTAACGGTGGTGGCGGCGATATACTACTAACTAATTTGTGATCGGTAGTAGTAGTAGTAGTACAATCTAACGTTTCTTCACATACTATAGTACTTGTGCATGGTGTAACAGTTGGGTGAATAATTGGTTGAACTGTCTGTAAAGATATGAAAAAAAATAAAAGAGTTTAAGATTCATTAGTCTTGTGGACTTAATGATGTAGATATCCCTGTAAGATAGCCTCCTCTACCCTGTCTGTCTGTCGGGATTCAAAATAGAGCTTGGCACTGAAGTGTAGCAGTTCGAGTTGCCACGTTTTGGACTGTGAGGGCGATTGTTACTTCCCGGCTGCCCACACCGTGAAAGTTGGGTGTGTGACCGCAGAGCCCAGGGGACAACTGCTTGAGGCCGGTCATACGCGGCCTGTTTTTGTTTGTTCTTCCTTGTTTGGTGTGTCTCAGTAGCATATTTATCACTTCTGCCCTGTGACACGGCAGCAGGAAGCGCGGTCGTTGTTAATCCGGGCCCCGACCGATCCGACATGATATTTTGTCATTTACTTTGAGTCATAGCGTTGGATTGGGTAACTGCTTTTTGTCTAATCGCTATCCAAACAACCTTTCTGGCATGGTAGGACCTCAAGCGACATAAGTCTCAGTCAGTATAGCTTGTTGGGTCATTGCGATGTTAAGACCGACCATCACGTCAAGGTAGCAGCTACCCACTGCCTAATGTTGAAATATTACCATATAATGTAAAGATGCAAAGACCAAGGAGGCAGGAAGGAAACGTATTGTACATAGGTAAATTTGGTATATCATATTTTCAAACCACCACTTGCACATCATTTACCACATCCTTGACGAATTGGTCGAATATCGTTACATTCGACAGCTTCTTGGATTCTGCATCATATGGCAACATTCTTCTCATAGTTCTCTTCTTTGATTGCTCTATCCAGTGTGCAAAACATATTGCTACTTTTCTGAATTCGCTTTTTGATATACTACTTATATCGGATTATAAGTAGCACTCACCACAATACGTGATGAATTACTCACAACAATACAATAACTTTAAAAATTGACTGAGTTTCAACATAGAATTTGGCACAGAAGTACGACAGTTTAAGTTACCATATTCCATGTATCCAGCTGTAATATGTAGGAATGTGAGGGAGGTAGAGTGATAACACAGAAAAATAGTCAGATTTAATAGGTCAGAGAGATCAGAGCCATTTTTAGCGATGTCACCAACAGTCTCAAGTTACTGGTTCTTAACATCCTGAGGACGCCAATCAGGCAGTATGCACCTACCTGCATGACTCGGTTAAACCAACATTCAAAGCCTTCATGGCTTAATGCCAACCAAACCCTGTGTCAGCTAACATTGCTCGACGTGGAAAATGGTGTCCCAGCATGTGCAGCCCCATCGGTTGACTTTCCCTTTTTACCTAACACTCTGAGTCTAACCCCAGTATTGCTCATCATATTATACCACCGACAAGAGAGATAGAACATAGTATTGTTGGTTAAAGAAAGTCAGTTTTTTCATATCTTCCACTTTTGAAAACTCACTCTAACTCACAGCCATAAAGGAGGACGAAGAGAATTAACGACCAGTTCACACGTCCTTTGATCGATAGCCAGACAGATATCACTTCTACTCTACAGTTTTAGAAACATTAGCGATAGTATCCCAACCACCCAATTCTTGGATTTTTCAGTACAACAAAATGAACGTATTATTTGTTTTTTTCCGGTTAATTTTGTATTTCCCGTTTATTGATTATATTGGGGCGAAATGCTTGGCCTCTGTATATAGATCGGTTCCTAGTAGGAATACTTTGACGAAGTCCAGCGATTAATATGAAGTTATTTGGGTTGATGGTGACTAGCAGCTAAATCCACCAAGAAGTGCATTTCGTCCGTCCTATTCGTGTTTCGACAACTGGATATAATTGGATCCCCACTTGAGTGATGGTGTCCCCACTCAGACTTGAGTCTCAGTTAGGGGACGTTAGTTTAACTAATGTTGATTGAAAGTAAAATACTAAGTCACATCATCCTGCAGAGAATAAAGAATGCACTGGATATAGAACTCCGTCAGCCCCACGGAAACAAGCTGACTGAATTCAGGAAAGGCAAATCATGTGCTGATCAAATTGCAACTCTACGCATCGTCATCGAAGCATAAAGTGGTAGTCATCGACTTTGAAAAGGCCTTCGACAGCGTAGACCGAGAAGTTATCTGGAAACTACTTCAACACTACGGCGTACCTCAAGTCTTTGTCAACCTCATTCAACAGCTATATAACAACGCCACGTGTCAAGTGATCCACAACCAAAAACTCAGAGCGGCGTTCGAAGTGCATACAGGAGTAAGACAAAGCTGCCTATTATCACCGATGACATTCTTAATTGTGGTGGACTGGATTATGCGTCAGGCTGTTGGGGGTAGGGAGTCACGAATACGATGGAAGACCGATAAGAGGACTCTAGAAAATCTGGATTTCGTTGATAATATATGTCTAGTGTCACACAAACTCGAAGACTTGCAAGCGAAAACCAACAAACTGGCTAAGGAGGCTGGCGGCGGAAATAGGACTCCAGGTGAACTGCTAAGAGATGGAGGTGATGAAGGTAACCAACCATCACCGACATCAACAGCAACAATAATCAGCACCAATCACCATCAACGGGATAGCTCTAACAGAGATTACCTCCTTCACCACAGGTGGAACGGACAAATCTGTCAAAGCAGGTGAGAATCGGAAGGGCAAGATACGCCTTGATCAACTTGAAACCAGTTTGGAAATCTCCAGTTTTCATTCAGCATAAGGAACAAGATTCGCATTTTCAAAACCAATGTGAAGTCGGTTCTTCTATACGAGTCAGAAACTTGCACTGCGTGTTACGAAGAGGATTTCCAACAGCCAGTTGCAGACATTTATCAACAGCTGCCTTCGCTGGCTCCATACAGAAGATCAAATGGCCAGCTGGCCAGAAAGAATAAGCAACAAGAAACTAAGGAAACAAACCAACCAGGAGCCGATCGCTCAACAAATATGTAGGAGAAAATGGAGATGGATCGGGTATACATTGAGGAAGCCGGCGAATGACATCACATGTCAGGCCCTCGAGTGGAATCCCAGTGGGAAGCGACGAGTGGGTGACATGGAGGAGATCGTGTAAAGAAGAGACGAGATATTGTGGCCAATCGTGGACCCAGTTGAAGAGGACAGCAGAAAACAGAACAAAGTGGAGACGTGTTGTTGAAGCTTTACGTTCCAGTCGGAACGCAAGGAAATAATAAATAAATAAATAAAATAATAAGATTGAAATGAAAACAAGGTTTCTAATTCAAACACCTCACAGATCATATCCCGTCATGATCTGTCTTTGTGTTTTTTTTACTCCATATATTACTACAAAAATTTTCTTTCGGTCAAACAATATTTACTTACTACATCTGAAGTAAAGGAGGTGTCTTGACCTGGAGTTGAAACTGATTTAATCAGCTTTGATATTCCCAAGCCAGATAAACCAGGTAACACTTTCTTCCTTCCAATGATTTCTTCACCTTCAAAAGCTGGATTATCTACTGGACCACCGCCTGCATCAGTGACATTCTGATCAGCTCTTTCACTGTCATTATTATTATTAATATTATTATTAGATTTTAAGGATTGATTCATATCCGATTTACTCATCTTTACAGAAGTTGGTGCCTTTCTTCTCAGCGAGTGTATTTGATCGCCTAGCAAGGGTTTCGATGATTTTACTACTTTATCTTCATCGAGATTTTGTTCACCTGCTTGTTTCATTGAATCGCTAGATTTTTTACCACGTACCATTTCTTGTATTTCAGAAATTTGGAAATTGTCACGACCACGTCGAAGTTTAGAAACTTTGGGATAAAAAAAAGAGAAAAAGGAATAATTTGAAAACAAGAAGTGTTATATAATTCCTTGTAGGAATTTATTTAGCCTATTTCTATATGAATGTCATTTTTGTACAAGGGGTAATATAAAATACACAAATGTAGAGGGCTAAGTTAAACTATAGGACCCTAAACAAACGACACCACCAGAGAAGTCGAAACAATCAATAAGCTTTAGTCTATGAATTAATTATTGAGGAAATCAACAGATATTTATAGATTTTTATGTACATTGTTATTAGCGTTATTGTTAGCGGAGAAGCAACCTCTTCTGATTGATTGTTTTCTTGCTCAAGGTTATTCTGTCATCTGTTTGTGACCATTTCTTAGAAAGTTAGGCCATATATCTGTGAATCGTATTCGCACACGTTAAGTCTGCTGTGATTGGTTGGGGAGTTCCTCAAGGTTAAGCTTTGTGATGGTTTTTTCTCATGACCCTGATTCGGGAGGTAAACACTGACGTAAATTGTGGTTTACAATTTCGGCTAGCAGGCAGCTCTCACCACAAAATGATTGCTAACTGACTGAGGTGAGCAGTTGTATACGAGTCACATCAATGAGTAGAGCCTGGCGGTCAACCGGATGATGCCAAAAGTCAGTCGCAAGAGATATTATCAGGTTCCGCTTGTGATAGAATCCAAAGAATCTGCAGCCCCGAATCAATAGAAAAAGAGATTACCCCCACCCCGTTACAATTTTGATTATTCATGACATTTCTGAAACACTTTGATGCTGTAAACAGTAACCCTAACTAATTTTTTTTATTTTTGTTTGACACTCCTAATGTACACATACACACATAATAATTATATAAGTGCGATTGTACAGCTAAGTGAATGAATTCGCCGTCGAAAAAAGACTCTTCGCTGAATTTTGTCTTGATAGATATTTTTCGTGAAGTAAGATAGAAAAGAGGAGGAGGAGAAGAAGAAGACTTACCTTTTTTATGATAATTTGGTATTTTCATACCATTCGATTTCAGGATATCGAGTAATTCATGTCGGAATGCGCTGATATCGCCTTTAATTTCACTCAAGTCATCTGGACTGACTGTTTCATTTTCACCAGATTTCAGTTTGTACATAATATAACGTTTAGTTAATTCACGCATTACAACTTGATAACGTGCTTCACGTTCTTTGACTTGTTTTACACGTTGCTAAGGTGGAAAAAATGTATAGAATAGAACAAAAAATGGAGGATCTTTATCAAATCTTCCACAAAAGACAGAGAGAATATTTGAACGCGAAGTTTCATCAATGAAAGTTTTCAGTAGTTGGTTTGTAAGGATTAGATTTGTTTATTCGAGTTTGACCATGGATTGATATCAGTTAGAGAACCAGTGAAAACCAGCTTTGGAGTACTGGACAGCTGTTTCATCCTAGTTTGGGAATCATCGGCAGTACGCACCCAAGACATTCCAGTTACAAAGTAAGCTCAATACCATTCAGCCACCGGGGCCTGATTCAATGGCCAACCCATGAATTCTAAGTTCTACCAATTCGTGATTTAGCGTCACCACCAACCGATGTTGGAAATCCGCGGTCAAACTCGCAAAAACAAACTAATGCAGGTGTAGAACTTGGGCACTGTGGCAGAATGCAATTCCATTTTAGATAAGTTTATTTTAAAAATCACACAGGGATGATGCAGTATTAACAAATGGAAAATAAATTGTTGCTCGTAATCATGTCAGTTTAGTCACACAGTTTCACATTTTGTCTTATACATATTTTTTCACTCTTTCTGTCTCTCCAGATTACCTTTGTTGTTTGTTGCCACTTACCATATCTCCGGTGTAGTTGTTGCGTCATTCCGATTGCACATGTGCAGTGTTGAATCGATAAACAAAGCTTCAGCGACTAACCTCTCTCCCCACCTAACTATATTACCCTTTTAATGCTCTCACGCTGTTCCACACTATCACTCTGTGATTACATGCAGGTGAATGCAGTGCGATACAGTGAAATGGTAGCATAGCGGTTAGGACACTCGCCGACCATGCACACTGTCCCGGGTTCGATCCCATGCCACCGACACACTCCTTTACCTCACTAAGCCAGTTATAAGACTGGTAAAGAGGGAAGGTTGGGCATGAGGCTAGCAACCCCATCCTGTAAAAATAAACACTACTGCTACAGAAACTTCAAGCCTGTAGTTTGAAGCCCTATGTTCCACTGGAAACGTGAAGGAAAAAAAAAACAGTGCAATGGCCGAGCTTTCTCCTGAGTTATTTAACTTAACAGGGTCAATCATTCTAGGTCTAGCTAGCTAAATTATTTTGTTCCAATAATCTAATTGACCCTGATCTACTAGTCTGACCTATGTAATTGATCTCACAGTTATTACATAGTAATTGGTAAGTTTATCTCTGAGAGAGTCGGTTGGTTGTTTGGTTGGTTTAAATGTCATCGTAATTTCAACATCACTGATAATCCTACTTAAAGCCTCCGTTGTTTCTTCATAAAGAAGTGCTACCGATGCTTTGAATTCTATATTATTTTCGTTGTTTTCATCACTTTTATTGCTAGTCGTAGTTTTTCTATGGTTCTTCATATATTTCTGGACAAATTGTGGTGGGTAGTTATTCACTAGTAATATTTCCTTTTTTTGTTTGATTTCGTTATTTAAATCTTCTGACTTACTAGTTAGGCTCTTGGCCCGATTATATAGACATTTAACTAAACCTATCTTCCTTTACCGATTCTGGATGGGATGAATTAAAGTCTAAGTATTTATTAGAGTGTGTGTCGGTTTCCTATAGATGCTGGTATCTAACATTTCGAGAACACTTTACTGCTACTCATGGTCATATCAAGGTGATCACTACTCACACAACTTTCAGACATCGTTTACAGAATTCTATCACTTCTTATCCTCTGATTTTACACCGGTAGTAGTGTTTTCCATATCTCTGGTATTGGAGGCGTTACGTTATTCGTGTGATGACATGTGTTAGTTAGGTGTAGATTCGATGAGCAACGATTAAATAATCAGCTCTCTCTTTCCACCTACCTATACTATTTTTTTGAGAACTGTAGTTCTGTCCCACCCTATTGTGTGATTTTCTAGTTATGCGTTCATTACCATCGCTGAGTTTTATCCTAATCTATTCAAACCCCGGTGGATGAGCAGTGATAAAGAGTCCCAAACTAGGACGAAACAGTTGTCCAGTACTACCAATTGGTTTTCCAATGGTCCTCTAACCGATGTCAACTCATGATGAAATCAATCAATCAAATCCCTACAAACCATCACTTGACTATTCATCTTCGTAGGCTAAATTAGTCTATACTTAGCTAATTGTGCGAATAGGTTCCTTTATCTTAGACAGCTTAACATTGAGAAATTTTGCAGGTTAAAAAACCACCCTAATTCCTGCTTTACTAAAATTTTGTAAAAAGATAAGCATAAGGATTAACGTGATTACATAAACAAAGTTTGAAAGTTATGTAAGTGCACCTTTGATATGATTATTTTTTTATTCCTTCACGCTCCCAGTGGAACATAGGGCTTCAAGCTACAGGCTTGAAGTTTCTGTAGCAGTGGTGTTTATTTTTACGAGATGGGGTTGCTAGCCTCATGCCCAATCTTTCCTGTTTACCAGTCTAATTACTGGCTTAGCGAGGTAAAGGAGTGTGTCGGTGGCAGGGGATCGAACCCCGGACCACCTGCGTGGTCAGCAGGCACTCTACCGCTGTGCCACCGACAAACACACAAAAATCACAGTCCCCAAATTCTATACTGATGTGACTGAATTTCAGGTCAGTCTGAATGAACAATATTTATTTCAATGAATTCTCTCCACATTCTTATAGTTATAAAATAAAATAACTCCATTATGGATAAAATTTTATTTTGATAAAATCGCACAGTGTTGTACAGAAATATTTAATGGTGTTCACGTTTTGAGCACAATTTATTGTCAGTCATAATCATATCTAGGTAGTCACACACCTTTCTTGCTTCATTTAAAAGCATGAGCAAAACTTAATCATAAGACATTTCAATATAGATATGATAGAGAAGATTTGTAGCTCAGGTGGATGATTTTGATATGGTTGTGTTCTCTGAGCTGGATAGTTAATTTGCATAGCTTTCATCACCCTACTAGGTGACATCTTCAGCGCATACTTCAATTTGAAGTGAGCTTTTAGATTTCTCCACGAGTTTATTAATCATCTCTCCTGGCGACCTTGGGCGTGATTGGCTGTTTTTGTGTGTTTTCACACCTTCTAGGTTACTTGTATTGTCACTCATTGTTTCTTTCCTAAAGGAATTGACGTCGTACACAAACCAACAAAGTTACTTCACTCAATTCTATGTCAACCAAAAGATTCAACAGCGAAAGAAGATAAAACCAACATCATCTACAAAATAGATTGTATCAACTGCGAAAAACACTACATTGGCCAAAGTGGACGTCCCCTTCGTCTTCGTATCCACGAACATAAGCTAGCTGTCAAAAGACATGATATCCACTCCCTCATATCACTACATACAGACAACCACGGACATCGATTCGACTGGGACAACGTTCAAATATTAGACAGAGGAAACAACAAGAATGCTAGAGAATTTTTAGAAGTTTGGCATTCCAGTGAATCATCAATCAATAGACACATCGAGATAGACAAAATTTATCAACCGATAAGAAAGAAACCTAACACACAAAGGGTCAAAGTTCAAGTCAAAGAAACAATGAGTGACAATACAAGTAACCTAGATGGTGTGAAAACACACAAAAACAGCCAATCACGCCCAAGGTCGCCAGGAGAGATGATTAATAAACTCGTGGAGAAATCTAAAAGCTCACTTCAAATTGAAGTATGCGCTGAAGATGTCACCTAGTAGGGTGATGAAAGCTATGCAAATTAACTATCCAGCTCAGAGAACACAACCATATCAAAAACATTTCAATATAATCAATGTAAGATGAAGTAGACATTTGTAAAAATTATATTTGTAAAATCATTTCAATTTCGCTGAGATTTTACAAATATAATTTTACAAATGTCTACTTCCCACTCAGCGCTCAATTATTTTGCAACTATCCGGTCAAATCTTGATCACAGTTCATAAGATGAAGTACATTCGGAAGTAATACTGACGACATTGGTTGGTGGTTGCGCTAAATCACGAATTGGTAGAACTTAGAATTCATGGGCTGGCCAATGGATGAATGATATAAGAGCTTTCCTTGTAACCGGTAGGTCCTGGGTTCGAACCCTGGAGGTGAGTGCGTACTGCCGATGATTCCCAAACTAGGAGGATGAAACAGCTGTCTGGCAGTACTCCCTGGCGGGTTTTCAGTGGTTCTTTAACCAGTATCAATCCGTAATCAACTCGTAAAAATAAAACTAATCCTTTCAAACCAACTATGGAAAAATAATACTAGTGTTACCAATAAAATACAATATGATGGGAAATGAGATTTTTTTATAATAAAATAAATGACTTGTTAGAATGTTATAATGTGGATTGAATACATTTTAACATTATTTATTATCCTCCTCTGATTTGACTGGTGGTAATAATATCTTCCATATCTCTGGTATTTGGATTTAGTCATTTCTGTTGCATGTGTTGAGTGCAGAATCAATGAACTAAGATTCAGTAGTCGGTCCCTCTCCCTACCCATCCTATTGTGTGGTTGTGTGTTAATACATGCAGTGCAATGTAGTGCTGAGTTTGTTTCTAAATTAGTTATCTTCGTAGGATCAATCATCCTAACCTTAGCTAAATTCTTATGTACTGATAATCTGGCTACCCTCGATCTACTAGTTTGACGTATGTGGTTCACCTAACGCAAAGTCATTACAAGGTATTTTGTAAATTATATTATTTCGTTTAATTAGGTCAGTAATGAAGTTATACTCTATCGCAGTACCCAAGTTTTATCCTTGTAAAATAAAATACTTTTTATCCCTACACTAATAGCAAGTTATACAATGGATACATTTTTTACACAAAATAACAGATTAGTTTTAGAGTGATAGGATGAAGCTACCTTGAGTACTGGTGAGAAGTTGTGACCAGCGGGGTCCACCAAGTTGAACATGAGGATAAATACTTTCTAATAACATTTACTAGAAGTTGTACTATTTATCATAAATTGGCAGAAGTTAGAATTCACGGGTCATTGGATTCTATTGCAGCGACTGTATGGTCAATAGGCTCACCTAGTTACCTGAAGGTACTGGATTGTGTCCTTGGTGGAATCACCGGTGAATACTGCAAACTACGATGAAACAGTTATAGTTTTGAATGTTAAACCCTGATTTTCGTATGACAATTATTAATATCAATTCCCGAAATAATCTCCAGTATAAACTAATTATTCTTCACAATCTAAGTAACAGTTTCATTAGTCTCCAGAGTCTTGAAGTATTCTGATGATGTCTAAAAATGACATGTTCAGCATTCGCTCATCAAACACACACATGGTTCAGGATTTGATTCCAGGTCAACTCATTCTAAAACTTCAATTAGGCTAGTAGAAATGTAACGGCAGAAGACAAGGCCCAGGCAACAGATCGTTTATTGAGGAAATCAAGAGATATTTATACATTTTTATGTATATTATTATTCGTTATTATTAGCAGAGAAACGGCGTCTTCTGATTGGTCGTTTTCTCAGTAGAAAATATTCTGTCAACTCTTTGTGGCCGTTTCTTTGAAGGTCAGATCATATATCTACGATTCATATCCGCCTACGCAAAGTCTTTGTTCTTGTTTTTCTCATGGACAAGATTTGGGAAATAAACATTGACGTAAATTGCTGTCAACCACCACAGAAAGCCTCTTGGAGGGGAAGGTTGAGTGCGAGACTAGCAATCCCACCCAGTACAAGAGACAATACTACTGTAACGATAGAAGACAAAAGACTTGGTACTTTGGTATCTCTATACAGCCAAATTATGTCCACCTTATCTTCAAAGCACCATTTGCATAGATATTCCGTGTTGTCCTACTTCTGGCCTTCCTTCATATTGCATTTCTTTATGTTCCCTACACGTCTCCCATGTTTCTCCGCAACTCTGTATCATTCGCTTTCTCTGACATCAAATCTAGCTCCCTGCTATTTGATGTTTTGTATGGCAATGAACTCCTCTTTATATATACTACTGATAAATAGTATCAGTAGTACACGCCACACTACCACTAGTGGACCTTCAAAGTTGTTAACAGCTTGAAGACCTATGCAATCCAATTGGAACGCAAAGCAGTGAAGAAAAATCATCTTAATACGGAATTAAATCGAAGAAAAAATAACTTACGCGAACTGTCTCCCAATTATTACGATGTAATTTCTCTTTATAACAATTTAAAAACAATTTTTTCAATGAATTCATCATATACATAAATGATTTTGGTGTAGGTATTATGTTGAATGGAACAGGTACAGTACAACCTTCACCAAAAAAGCTGATCCATAGCTTTGATCGTGCAAATTTCCATTCAACATCCACTTGACCCTATGGATAGGTAAATATTGAAAATAAGGAGAGAGAGAGAGAGGGGGAATAGCACCAATACTCATGTAGGTGGATGGTACAGACTACCTGCAATAATCTTGCAACGGCAGACTGTTATTGATGTAGTGATAAGATAAAAATCTCAATCACTGCAAGATTCGAACGAGAGGTCCGGAAATCCACCCACCAACCTACTAATCAGGCAGTTATTTCAATACAACCACTAAGAATGTAAAAAATATCTCTAGACTAATCGCAATTCACATATAATTCCATCTTCCTGAATAACTGTCTCATAGTTTTCGATTTCCGGAGGTAGAAGAGACCTTTATTAATCCGAAATCGATGTGGAAATCTACTGTACTCACCATAAGGAACAATCTAAGGATTTTCAATACTAATTTCAACCCACTCAGTGCTTCGATATGGTTCAGAGACTTGGTACGCGTCACCGAAGGTATTTACAATAGGTTACTGCGGACTTTCATCAACAGCTGTCATCGTTTCATGCTGAAAATCAAATGGCCAGAAACAAACTCTGGTAACAAGCCAACAGAGAGTCTGTTGCCTAAGAAAAATGAAGAAGGAAATGCAGATGGTCTGCGAACACCCTGAGAAGACTACTGAATGAAATCATGCGTTATGGAGGACCCTCGAGTGGAACCATTTGAGAGAGTGCCATAGTGGAGATCGTGTAAGGAGGCAATTAAAGCTTACGAGCAGTCGTGAAGCCAACTATAAAGGACAGCGGAGAACACAGTGAAGTAGAGGTATGATGCTGGAGCCCTGTGTATGTTCCACTTGGAACCCCAGGGAATAACAATAATAAATTATGTGATAGTGATGACTTGAGTATTTTGTTATCCGGATTATGTCCAGCTGACGAAGTAATAAAATGAAATCATCTTATCATGTAGAAGCGGTTCTTGATGCATTTTATTGAAATTTATTAACGGAATTAATGATATAAAAATTCTATAAATCAGACCATGGTGAATTCATTAAATACTATCGTTCTCTCCAGAGCTAACAGGTATCCTAACTTAAATCAGTGAATGTAAACGATTATGGACGAATAATTTCTTTGAAGTAATGTCGAAATTGCAAAGAGGAGTAAATAAGAATACCGCTGGTTGCGTAGCAATGAAGAGTCGCAGACTAGGACGAAACGGCTGTCCAGTATGTCGAGGTTTTCCAGTGGTTCTCTGACTGATGTCAGCTCATGATGACATTCTCCAACCAGTTGAACAAAATCCCTACAAAACCAATACTTGGAAATATTCCATCGTGTTCTTGTTCCACATTACACTTTCTAATATGTGATTCTTATTTGTCTTTACTGACTATTGAATGCTAAAATGAATGGATTTATAATTATAACGCTTTCAGAAAATGTTGATGAAACCATAACTGTTCGGTCTAATTGCTCCTTTTCTGAATAAAATATGGTAACATATTCAAGTTAATGACATTTTGTTTACTACTTAAAATGATCCCCTGCTTGTTAGTAGTATTGTGGCGTGTGCTACCGATAGGATTTATCAGTAGTATATGAAGAGATGTCAACAGATCTTCCGTAATGTGCTACTTCTACCCTTTATAATGTGTCTCTTTATATTCCTTTCACGTCTCGTATATATCTCCGAAACGCCGTATCATTTGCTTTCTCTGACATCAAATGTATCTCCCTGATATCTGATGTTTTTATGCAGACGAATGTTACTTTATATACTACTGATAAATCTTAACAGTAACACACACCCCAGTATCACTGAAGTTTTCGTATTCTTTGTATGAATATTTGAGGTTTTTATGCATACTTATTGTGTTGTATATCACACTTACTACAATTTGTTCATAAGAACTGTTCATCATTGCAATCAGCATATTCAACAGCACAATGAAAGCGATGTAAGAATACGTCCCAAAGGTTAGTTTACCTAAGTGAAGAAATAAAATAAATAAATTCATCATTCAATTCAGTGAATACAAAATTAGTGCATAACACAACTTGTTCAGGACAAATGAATTTTTATGGGAGTAACCGATACTACTTAAAGTAGACAAGTGATAATAACTAAATAATTCCAATTGTGGCATTAAGAACATTCTTTTTTCACTTAATTTAATTCACACCAATGCTATCACTATTATTATTCGTCACTCTGTGGATTTTTCACAGATGTGGTTACTGAACAAAGAATATTTTTTTCGATAACTTCAACATTAGGTTCTACGATTATATACACATAATATTAAATGAATTAGTGTCATTAACAACGTTAATATGTACGAACGACACACTGATGGATGAGCTTCGACATATACGTTCAGTTTTAATAGTTAACGGTTATCCAGAAAACTGTACCAACTATCACATTAAGGAGTGACCACATCTTGAAAAGACAGCTGTACAAAATAAAACAATCTTTATTAACCTACCATTCAATGGTGAGCAGATTATGCAGTTGACAGCTCAACGACTTCGGTCAGCCATCAAGTGCACATTCAACGCCACATCTATTTCCCTCACATCTCGAACATTTTCGATCTCTGTACCTACGATTAAAGGAGGAAATTCTGTGGACTCTACTTCAAACTGTATCTACAAGTGCAAGTTCACCTGCAGTTACAGTGACGCCTATATAGGTAGAATCACTAGAATGTTCCAATATCGTCGAAAAGTACATGTTCCAAAATGGTTATTAAAACACAACGAAAACCCCATCCATCATCATCCATTGCAAAGCGCTTATTAATGTCAGGTCAGAAAATCAATATTGATAACTGTTTCGCAATTATTTCACATAACTCTAATTCAAGGCTGATAATTAAAGATGATGGAACTAGCACCTTTCGGATTAATCACATATATCCTAAAGTGAGTTTACAAAAAACAATAGACCTTGACCCGTTTAAACATGATTGGTCATTAGTATGTACTATTATTTATGTAACTGAGTAATTGTCACGCATTTTATTTTGTTATTATTGTTAACCATGTTAGTTGCAAAGCGATTGTAAAGAAACTACGAAATGGCGGTATCATCTCGCGAAATTTATCTTCTAAGTGCCTTATTCAAACATTAATGTTGTTTAAATATCATCGAATCAATAATAATACTATCAGTGGATTTCATTTCGATATCACTAACATAACAGTACACTGATTATCAGAAAAATCAGGGAAGATGATATTACAAATTCATAAATGTATAGTCTCCAATTAACGCCAGCCAGGGCAGTAGTAATGGCTGGCTGGACTTAATTCTTCTGCACACAGAGCACCAGTTGTTTAAGGCGAATCGCGATAGACTCTACTGTTTAGAGTATGCCGTACCTGAATGGTTTTGGCAATTTTTTTGGTACCCGGTAGATAATAGAAAAGGATTCTTCAATGCTGTCTTTGTGGCCGGCCGGTTTGGACCAGGTGGTGTAATATCGAACTGTTGATGGTTTTTATTACACCTTTGAATAGTCATACTGGGAGATGTTCCGAAGCGAGCATGAAAAATCAAGTTCTTAGGGCAACAGCCAATATAACTCACTCCAGCACAGGCTCAGTTGAATTGAATGTACATTAAACATAACTTGTCCCTAGCATTTTATATTACAGTTCACTGTTTGGCGACTTTATTTTGATCATTATAGCTTTTTTTCTTTGTCAACCGTCGAAATGGCGTTCACCAAGCCTCATTTGTTTGTTTATATATTTGCAGTTATAATATTTCTCTCACACTAATGAATATAACTCTCTCACACACACCCGTGAAACTAATATTTTGTTGATTGTAAATATATTAGCATGTCAGTTAACTGTATATTCACACTTTCATCTTATGTTCTAAATGATTGAACATTTTTAATTTGCTTTCAGGATTTCATCATCACCAGACATCGGTTAGGGGAGCATTGGAAACCCCGGGGTACTAGACAGCTGTTTCGTTCCACTAGTTTTCGACCCATTGACAGTATGCACCCACCAAAGGGGTTCGAACCGAGGACCTTCCGGTTACAAGGTAAGCTCGTGACTGACTACAAGACGAAGTTGCCTGCAATTCTAGTGAGATGTCGTAACCAGTGGAGTCCATCCAGGAGACAGTGAGGATGCAGTTCCCACTGATGACATTCATTGGTGTCCGCGTTACAATCAAGAATTGGTAGAAATTAGAGTTCATGGACTCGGCATTGAATCGGGTCTCAGTGACTGAATGGTCTACGAGCTAGCTGGCCTTGTAACAGGAAGTTCCTGGGTTGGAAGCCTGGCGGTGGGTGAGTAGTTCTGATGAGTCTCAAACTAGCACGAAAGAGCCTTCTAGAACTCTCTGGTTTTCACTGGTTCTCTAACTGATATCAATCCGTGATCAACTAGTTAAACAAAATCTAATCCTTACAAACCAACTCTTGAAAATAATAACAGACGTAAAATATGGGAAAGGTACAAAGTTCAGATAAACAAAACGAAAAATAAATGTTTCATCACTTTTGTTTGTTTTATGTTCGAGGTATAAATAAAGACTACGCGCACTTCTTTGCCGTGGATCTTTAATAAATAGCTGAGGCCTTTGATGTCTTTAGAAGTTTGGAAGGAGGAAAACACATCAAGTTAAAATGAATTCTAAAGATGATCTTAAGATCATGTTTGAAACTTTACTAATACGATTTTATAAAAGCAAAAGGAAGGATGTGAGGCACTCTATTCCAAGACACTTAATCGACTTCTATTACTTTGCCGAACCTGACTATAATTTTAAAATCATCTATTGTGAATTCATCCTAACTTGCCGCACTTTTTCCGTTTCAAACGTCTGTAGACAGTGAAGGCTTTGAAGATTCATGAATACAAGCCAGACCTTTGTTTTCAAGATAAAAGGATGTTGGGCTCATATTTCTGTCCTGGCTGTTAGAAAAAAATTGAAAACCAGAGAGTTCTAGAAGGCTCTTTCGTGCTAGTTTGAGACTCATCAGAACTACTCACCCACCGCCAGGCTTCCAACCCAGGAACTTCCTGTTACAAGGCCAGCTAGCTCGTAGACCATTCAGTCACTGAGACCCGATTCAATGCCGAGTCCATGAACTCTAATTTCTACCAATTCTTGATTGTAACGCGGACACCAATGAATGTCATCAGTGGGAACTGCATCCTCACTGTCTCCTGGATGGACTCCACTGGTTACGACATCTCACTAGAATTGCAAGCAACTTCATCCTGTAGCCGATCACTAGTGTGCATTAGATTATTTTCAGCAATTAGTTTGTAAGGATTCTATTTATTTCAGGTTAGACAGCTAATGTACCTTAATGATAATGAGTCATCAACTAAGTTCAAACAAATAAAACAATGAAGAATACTGAGATTTTCACTGGAATCGATAAGACAGAGACACAAAATTAATGGATAAAGGGAATTATGAAGAGGAATAAGAAAACAAGTTATTAAAGTACTACTTTATGTCTTTTATATACCATTATTTCGATGCTTGAGTGCCTGATGGTATGAGACAAGTTGCTAAGTCATCGAAAAGACATTCGATGATGTTCAGCATTTACACTTTCAATTTGTAACCATCTTTTCATACACTTGAGAAGTACAGTAATGATAGAACAATTAAAAATAAAGTGTATTGTATAAAGGTTTACAATGTAGAACAAAGACGATATCGATTATTGAAAAAAAAAAACGAATACTATGCTGTCAGGATAAGCGAGCATGATTTATACCACCTTTAATCGACAAAAAAATATCGTATGGTCTGTAGACTATAGACCACCACTATGTCTTAAGCGATGAACACTTCACACTAATCCATTCGTCTTCACATTTCTCTCTCTCAGTGTCATGTGTCATGTCCTTCGTCTGGTGAAGACTGAATTCTTTCAGTCAAGTTTGTAATGTGGCTCCATGTTAGATGACTGGCTATCAATATGCTCTCTAGATTGATGTCAGATGATTGGAGAGAATTGTGAGAATGAATTGCTTATATGCTTCGTGCTTGCAGCAAGGCATATATGAAATCGTGAAAAAACCACGTCCCTACTGAGAATTGTACCTGGATCCCGAGTTACTGCAGTCAGAGACGTTACCACTGTGCTACTCAGGAGTGAAGTTCAACAATAGTATCCCAGGAGTGCAAATTCTCCATTGATCTTGAACTCATGCTACTCGTGGGCCAACGGAAACTGTCATTATCAAAGCTGTAATACCAATGCTATTCACCAACTAAGGAGCAGTGTGTTAATAGCTAGTTAGTATTAGGCTTAAGTTGAGTGTTGGGGTTAGGGTTAGGATTAGGGTTAGAATTAGCATTAGGGTTAGAATTACGGTTTGGATAGTTGTTATGATTAGGGTTACGGTCAGGATTAAGGTTAGCGTTACGACTAGGGGTAGATTTAGAGTTGATGTCATTTATTTTAATTTGTCTTATTATCCACATTTTCCTGGCAACTAGTCATCGATCCTCTTACTGGAAACCATAGTAATTCAACCGAGGGCTTTCGGGGAAGACTGTACAATAGGTAAAGAGAGATAAACGATTTCCGAAAACAGCTCATCTTCAGTCACCTCGGTGAATATATGTACAAAAACTAGTCTAACTTAGCAACTGATACTCCTCATTATAACTGGGACGTATTTCTAGGTTTTGTCAGAGAAAGATACCCTGTTTAGTATGTTTTCATGTATTTTCTTTTAAATATACGTCATTTTTTGTGGAAAAATTCCCCAGTCTTATGATTAGTCGACTCAGGGTCACCCATGCATGCGCATCCCTTGGGACGCTATTGTTGAACTTTGTTCTACTCAGGCTTGCGACTGACATCTTCTGAAGCCGTAATGGATAATTTGATTGGGCACAAGATTGTAGATACGCCTTGCTGATGCATGCCAACAAAAATGAAACTTAGATCCAAGATTTCATGCACACTGACACTAACCACCTAAAATCAATTTAGAGTGCCACGTAATGGAGAGCCACGTAGCTTGATGGTCACAATGTAAACCTGACTGATAGAATTCAGTCTGCACTAAACCAAAGACTAGGTATGTGGCGTGTGCTACTGACAGACATTCTTCGGCACAAAAATATCAAATATCTGAGGGAAAGGTTTGACGTCAAACAGAGAGAGAGATAGAGTAGAGATGAACCGGTGTTGAAGCGAAACATGGGAAACACAAAAAAAAGACAAAGAAACACAATACACGAAGGGTAGAAGTAGCACAACACGAAAGATCTGCGCGTATAACTGTTTTAATATATGGTTTACATAATTTCCCAATATTATTATTATTTATTATTCCTTTAATTCCTAGAGGAACATAGGGCTTCAGCCGTGCGTCTCTATTGCGTTCGGTTCTCTGCTAGAGTCTTTACCTGGCTCCAAGTCTGTCCCTATATGTTTATATCAAATTCTTAATAAACATTCTGTTCCGAAGTCTCTTGGTCTTTTCGTGTTACAGCCTCATGACATTAGTTACTACTCAGTGTCCAATCAATCAGTATATATGTAACAACAGAAGACAAGGGCCAGGCAACAGATCGTTTATTAAGGAAAATCAATACATATTTATAGATTTTAATGTACATTATTGTAGATTATTGTTAGTAGAAAATACAGTCTTTTGATTGGTTGTTTCTCACAAAAAGTTAACCTTGCATCTCTTTGTGGCTGTGTCAGATTATCTATATGCTAACTGTATCCGCCTACGCAAAGCCTTTGTTCTCATTTTCTTACCACCAATATTGGGGACATAAACATTGACGTCAATTACTGTCTACCAACTTTGGCTAGCAGCCAGCTCTCACCACATATATACATATATTCTGGTGTCTGTGTTGTGGGAAGTCGTCATCATCGGGGTCCACCTAGATGGGTATGAGGACAAATGATCACAGATGACACTGACTGGCGGTCCCGCCTTACATAGCGGACTGACAGAAGTTAGGATTTATAGGTCATTGGATTCCAACTGTTCCAGTGGCTTGTGTGTGTACTGGTGAACAGTCTCTAACTAGCACGAAACAGCTACTTTGTACACTGTCGTTTTCAATGGTCCTGTAATTGAAGTCTGTTTGTGATCAATCTTTAAGTCAATCATATCCCTAAAAATCAACATTTGAAGACTAAATCAAGTAATCGATGTAGACAGCTTCCTTTTTAAAAACTCAAGAAGTCTGTGGATATTTATCATCAGGATAAATGCACAAACATACAACATGAAACATCGACCTTATAAATACAAATAAAACTATTTTGTGTATTGTTTTTTCTTTTTCGAACTTACCTACAAACTCTGTGAATACATGAGGATATTCCAAATTGAAACTTGTCAAATCGATTAAACCATATGCAGACCAGTACAATGATTGAACAATTTCGAATAAACTAAATCAATACAAGAAAGTAAAGTAAAGATACACTCCAGTCTTAGAATCATTAGAACAATAACGAATTCTCAATGCTTTCTACTCTTTGGGGCATTCGAAATAAACACCAACTGAGTGGTGAGAAACAACAATAAAGACAATAATAGACTCTAGTAACAAGTAACATTTGTAACTTTTATTATTATTATTCTGTTGGGTTCTCAGTATAACATAGAGCTTCAGCAGAACATCTGAATTTGTCTAGAGTCTAAGTTCTGTAGAGTCTTTTCTAGTTGGCTCTACCATTGCCTATTAACTGTCACCTTCTTCATACAAGATTCCTCCACCTCATACTCAGACGAACAAACCAACTCATCGTTTCCCATTCGGATTGTACTCGACGACATTCTTTGCGTGTGCTCAATTCAACTGCATATTTGTGGAGCAATAGGTTGTTGGATGGTTTTTTGACAGGGGGGGGTCCCTATTGCTTACTTTTCCTTTTTGATTCGTTATGTGTTCCTCAGCGCTCAGTAAAGGCAACTGTTGACGAAATCTGCAGGCTGTTGGAAATGCTTTTTAAAAGTTTATCTTTACAATTCATCTGAGATAAAATTAACCAAACTGTGAACGTATAAGAAATAGTTAATGGTATGTGAGAACTGATAGCATGATGATAACAAATGTAAGTACTGGCTTTCATCTGTTAACGGGAATCCATCGATCAGATATGTGCGTCTCAACGCTTAACCACATAACATAACATCGTAATACATTAAAATATGGATTTAAGTGTTAAGAGACAATCAGTAGGAGGCTACCGTCGATCTATGGTTTATATTTGCTAGGAAACATTATCATGGAGATGTCACTCATTGATTTAGGCTTTCGACTTCCAACCAGTTGATCAAGAGTTTGAAACTGAGGTTCGGGTTCTGGGCAGCATAAACGACCCTCACACAGTGGGTGTCACTCATTGCCAACTGCATACAATTGTAAGTGATTATTGAGTAACAGTGAGTTGAGGGTGGTTGTTAAGACAAATGATACAAGTTAAGTTTGTTTTTCATAGGGAATATAAGTTTTCGCCATATTACTGCTGAATATTGCCGATAAGTAGTAAGAACCACGAACTGTGAGTCATACAGGGATTCCAGCCCATTGATATATGTGTATACATATATTTATGTGTTTTGTTGTTGGACAGCCCGAGATAATCGACTAGAAGTTATGGATATAAGTTTCGCACCTACTGGCATTCGTCAGCAAGGCGTATAGGCAACCTTGTAGGAAGTATAATGTCTTCCCGGTGATTCGAGCTAGTTTCTCTTAGTACTGCAATTAGAGACGTTGTAACTGCGGCACTCAAAAATATACCCCCCCCCCAGTAAGTCTTTAAAATATTTTCAACCGTTCGTTATGATTTATACGCTGAAATTCAGAAATAATCCTTTGACCTATATACTACTACTGACTGACTGATTTGAGTAGCTGAACAACACACATCAACCAGTAGTACTTGCTAACAAAATCGAAGTGATCAAAGCACGGGATGGCGATTTCGCTCGTTTGGGACCGAGCTCCGAGCCGAATCAGTCCAGACTATCTGAATTCTGGCTGGTTATTTAGACGAAATGATAACACGTTAAATCCGAAGCATTCCACCCATCGAATTACTATTAGGCATTCCAGAATAAGCCAGTACATATTAATATGTAGAAAAAATTACAACCTTAAGTGTATGCACATTATAAATAGTCATTACTGATTACTACTCACTTTGTAAAGTATGTTCCACGTGTAATACAATAATCATAAACATCTTTTTGACCTTCTTCCAGAGTGAAATGAACATTTTTACAATTTCTAGCACGATTTTTAGCATAAAACCAATACAACTGGTTAAAGCCGAATGCAAATGCCACAAGAACAAGGAAATAAACACAAAAGAAACGAAATATATCATATAACATTCTTCCAAGGGAGATTTGCAATGGACCAAGTTGTGGACTAACTGTAAAGACATAAACTAATTTCAATGTTGACACGATGTTCGCCGCAGCAAACAGACACTCGGAAACAAGAACTGGATCAAATGAATCCCATTGGCCACGGTTCACATAACGTGGTTCATCGTAAAACACTGTCTGTAGTGTTGTTAAATGGTAAAAGAAAAGACAGAATAGAGTAATTAAAATATGTTAAAAGGATAGTGAAAGTTTATGAGAATATATTTAGTAAAAACATATATAAGGTATTATAAAGGATGTTATTTTGGTTGAATGTGGTTTGCGATGGAATCCAGGATGTGAATTTCGTCCTTTTTAAGACTCATCATCCGGACGCGTCTACACTCCCAGCGAGTAAGGGTGTTCCAATTGATAATCTAACCTTGCACCCCCTTTTTCACCACCAACCAAAATAACATAACGTTAATTTCCAGATATCTTCAGAGCTTTCGTACCAGGCATCTGACAAGTCAACAAAAAAGGTGTATTTCAGTGAAATATAGTCGATGAACGCTCAGGTTAACCTAGAAGATAAATAATTAATGATACCCGTTGCACAACAGGTGACTCAAGTGACCTGGTGAATAATGCTTTGGCGTTTGGAACGACTGTCGCAGGGTTTGGGTCTCGGTAGAAATGCCATCATCACTGACCGGGCTTGTAGGTACGTCCAGGCGATGAGCCCCAAATATGAAGGACGAAATGAACATCCTAGTTACCACCAACCAAACCCAGGCTATTTGTTACGTTTCATCACGAACTGAGATCACTCAGAGGACCATCGAAGATCAGTGAGTGCAGCAGATCCGTCTTGTACTGGTCTGCATCTGTGACTGTGCCACGGATTGTAGGAGTTGCTTGGTGAAACATAACTTAAAATCAATAAAACCCCCAAGCTGACCATTAATAACTGAATACGAGATGGATTTCCTACAGTTCTAATAAGAAGCTGTGACGGTTGGAGTCCGGGGTCTGAGTTGTAGGGAAATGCTAAGATATGGCTGGCGAATGGGCTATCCGTCACGATTTGGAAGAAGTTAGAATTCATGGGCTATTTGGAGCAGTCCCAATAGCTGGACGGTCAAAGGGCTGGCCACGATCCCTGGTAGGGAAACCACAACGAAGGTTTGATTACTCATACACAACAATGCTATGATGATTAAATGAAACTGTACTGAAATTTGTGTTTATCCAAAACTTATTCTTAAAACTCTTTTCCATCAGAACAACTCAAAATTTAAAAGAAAACTCGTTTGTTGGAGAAGGGTTAGCTAAAATATCAAAATCTTGAGAAGTAAACACTTAATTGTTGTTCCGTTTTTGGCTAATTAAGTGTTTTCCAGTCTACATCGAATAAGTACATTAGGGGAGTTGTAGTGTAATCATCGATGGTGATTGGCGACCTGCTTAAAACTTGGGCTACCAAAAATTTCTATCTCTCTATTGCATATGTTCTCCCTTGTTAAGTTTGTTTTAATCGATTAAAATATGACCTTAATTGGTATATTTAAGTGTTTAAAAGCTCCTGATTTGCAAGTTCCTACTAAACTTGAAGAATGGCCTGACTGTGAGTGGCAACGTACGTATCCCGATTCATGAGATAACTGTTCTTCATTTATATCCTTAGGTCTCAAAATGTACTTCTCAACACCAGATATCGTGGATTTCTCGGAGGAGACAAAGCAGATATATCACATAATGGAATGATTTGTGCTTCAGCTCAGAGATCGTTGTGTCACAGAATATACTGTCAGTTAATAGTTTACTTGAAGATATTGTCCGAAGGGAAAATATCATCATTATCTTCATTTCAGAAACGCTAACGGCTAGACTGATAAAGTATAGCAACGCAAGAGAACCACCAATGAAATGACCTTGACCAACAAGAAGCCTTATTTAAATAGAAAATCTTATAGCAAACAAATTACGTAATACAAAATGATTATACAGCATGGCGACCCCTTATATGTCGTAGAAATGTCTCCCATTTAGTCAATGGGGTTCTTAGTGCTTATTCCAAAGCCATTTCTGCACATGAATCCACCTGGATGAGTGTATATCATGTCATTTCGTGACCAAATTACAGCTAAAATGAAATGCCCATAGAATCTTTCTAAGTAATTAGTGTGCATGCCTCACCCAAACGGATTATCAAGATGTGAAGAACGGTCTACAGAGTTGTGAATACAGCCGGTTGACGATAACGGTCTGCAAATCCTCCATTCGTCTGTGTGGATAGTTGTTCTGGCTTTTACAACAAGACGTTGGATAATTGGTCCTTCGTAAAAGCTTGTTGTCAAGACAGTACTGAAATGCAAGATGAGGATGATGGCTGCACAATGAAGCTTATTTAATTGATTGTTCACAGTCTTTTTATTGATTTTTAGCTTCAGTGGTTATACTTTAGTCTAACCATGCTAACGTATAACTCATGAGTCAATCAACTAAACTCTCGTTTTTCCAAATTTAAGAAGAAAACATTTTGTTTTACTGTAAGACAATAATGATAATAGTAGGAAAAACTTACTCTAGCCCAAGCTACTGTTCTTAGCGATATCGTTGATATGTATAGTGAATTCATAACAAAATCCACAAGATTCCACATATCTGTTAAATGAGCTCTTAAACCCCATATATAGAGCTTTTTCATTTGTTGCCAAACAAAACCTATAAAAAAAAATTTAGAAAAAATGTCCAAGGAAAATCCAGATATTAATGTCAGTAAAATGTTTGAGTATTGTTACTCTATTTAATCACATTCATCCAAATATCCGAGTGACTTCCGACTTCTCACTCCTGGGATGCTATTGTTGATTTCCGCCATAATCACAATAAGTTGACCCCATTATTTAAAGAAAACCCACAGTCATAGACTTGCATGCAAATGATATCATGGATGCCAACTAATGACAAGCAGTAAACTCTAATGAAATAAGTAACAAGTGTTTATCTTAGATTCTAGTGGTGATCTTATCTGTTTTATTGATTGGCACAATAAAAAATGGCTTTGAATGCTTAATTTTTCCACAACGTTTACCTACCTATAACATAAATGATTAAAGCTGATTCTGTCAGTGACGGCGGAGGTCCACGATCATGCATTCGTTGATCCATAGAATTTGTTAGCAGGAATTCAACACGTATAGCAGCCAGTGTAAGCAGAGCTAATAAAATAAGAAGAAGAACAATAAAACAATATTTGTACTGGTATCCTCCAAGGTGCTGTACTCTCCCCACTTGTCTTTTCTTTCTTTCTACATGACTTACCATCTTCAAATGACCTTAATTTTGTTAAATATACTGACTATCTGACTGTATCTTTACCTGTCAAATATCAAAGTGACTGCTCTAAACTTAATGGCTGTCTGTCAGAAATCAGCCTGTGGTCTTAGGAAAACGGTCTAACCTTAAATCCCTCTAAATGTCAAACAGTCAATTTCACATTTAGGCATAAATCTGACCTAAACAAACTGGTTAGCACTCACGAGGTGTGCAACATAGATGACACTGAAATAGAGACCAAGTCGGAAATTAAATATCTTGGCGTCATTCTATCTGCTGATCTTTCCTGGTCGTCTCATAACTTGATGATTTCTAAGAAATTATTCCGTCTTTCCTTCCACATCCCGAAGTTAAGACATTCTGGAATAACCCAACCCGTACTCTTACGATTCGTTAACTCTTGCATCCCACCTATTATTCTCTAATGTTCCCCCTTAGTTTTCCCAGGGTTACTGAAGAAAGACTATATCTTATTACGTAGGGTGTTAAAGGTTGTCAGCAGGATAAGCAACGTGCCACTTAACCAGCTTGTTAATATTCTGGTCGAAAAAATGGGCTAAATCCATTCTATCTAACTCACACCACCCTCTTCATTCACAACTCCTCCCCTTGCATCTCATCAGGCAGGACCAGAAGCCAGAAAACTATATACTCCCACTAGCAAGTATAAAAACTCAACCGTACTCTACTTGGCTCGTGTTCTGTGCGATAAAGAAAGCATTAGGCGTGAAACTTATAACTTATTAAATAATCAATAGAACAATTGGATCTCGTCTTTCCAGCTCATATAATTTATAGGTACAACGTTTTCTTTCTTTCATTTCCTTTTCTCTTTTTTTCTTTGCTTTTTGTTTCTTTGTTTTTTTGTTTGTTATGTGCTGCTTTGTTTCTCTCTTCCTTACAAACTCTACTTAAAACATTCTTCTTCGTTCTTTCACACTCTGTATATCTCGACCTTTTTGTTACCGCTTACGTCTGTAAATATGCTAGTATCTCCTTTCGTAACACGTTGAAACATTCTGTCTACTTTTGGCTTTGCTACCAATATGCTAATATATTGTTGTCAAGACTAACTGAGATTACCCATAATCTATGTAGAATTTTATTTATTGTTAATGTACAAAGTGGACGCAATACTGTAGTGCATTCAAAAGAAGTTCGTATAGTCATTATCTCTCCTTTGTTGGCTTATTAAGACCTAACCAACTGATAACTTCTACACCACCCCTTATTGATATTTTCACTCCCTCTGTTACCATCCCTTATTTTTATCACAACTTCATTAAATAGTTTATTTACTTCCCATACAATCTAGAATTACTCAATCGGTTCATTTGTTTTTCTTAGCCTTTATCGACTACTACGTCTACCTGAACATTTGTTTGTTTAATCATGCTGTTTTTCTTTATTCTTGTTTTCACAGAACACCCCACTTTCTCATTTTTGTTAGTGATAGAATTACTATTATCATTACATTGACTAAGTGCACAATTTATATGCACAGTCTTATCATCCTATTAACGAATCACCGTGATTGGTTTAGATATGAATATTTTTTTGTAAAGTTATATATATCAGAGTTAAACCTGATGAGATCTACATGAAACCACAATATTGTTTGGTTAAATGTATTGTTCTGGCTTTTACTATAGGTATATTTATTATTATTATTTCCTTCAATTCCTAGAGGAACATAGGGCTTCAGCTGTGCGTCTCCATTGCGTTCGGTTCTCTGCTAGAATCTTCACCTGGCTCCAAGTCTGCCCACACGCTTTCATCTCCTCTTCACATGACCGCCTCCAAGTCGCCCTTGCACTGACGACCAACTCGCCGCTTCCCTTTCGGGTTCCACTCGAGCAATGGCTTGTCTAGTGATGTCACTTGATGGTTTCCTCAGAGTATGGCTAATCCAATCCATCTCCATTTATTCTCCATTTCTTCCTGCCTGTTTGTTTCCCACTTGGTTCCTGGTTGGTTCGCTCCCAGAGATCTCTATTGCTGATCTTTTCTGGCCATCTGATCTTGAGTAGTATTGAGCGAAGACAGCTGTTGATGAAGGTCTGAAGTTTGTTTGAGATGCTCTTTATGACGTGCTGGCCAAGTCTCTCATCCGTATAGTAGCACTGACTTCCCATTGGAGTTGAAAATCCGGATCTTGTTTTTGCTGCTGAGTGCTGTTGACCTCCACACAGACTTGAGAGTAGTGAAAGCTTGCCTTGCTTTTCCGATCCTTGCTTTGATATCCTCGTCAGTTCCGCCTGTAGTTGAAACGATGCTTCCCAGGTAGGTAAAGGAGGTTGTTTCTTTCAGGTTCCTCCCATTTATGCTGATTGTTGTCTGTTGTTGTTGCTGTTGGTGTTGTCCAGGAATCTTCATTACCTCTGTTTTCTTTATGTTTACTTGGAGTCCTATCTTTGATGCTTCTTCTGTCAACTTGTTGCTTTTCGCTTGCATATCTTCCACTTTGTGGGATAGGTATATTTAATATTTTGAAATCTCGTGGAGATCCCATCAAGAATTGACAGAGTTAGAATTCATGGGGTTATTGAATTCTGCGTCAGTTAGTTGAATGGTCAACGAGCTTGCGCCAGTAACCTGAGGGTCCAGCTTTCGAAACGATTAGCGATATCGTCCGTACGACTGACTATTTTGTGAATATAGCCTAGGGGTGACAGTTGACTACACGTTTTCTCCCTTCCAATGAGCCTGTTGTCTAAGTACTAGGTCTCGATGAAATATACACCGTAATCCGTGTACAGCGTCTACAGTTCCCTCTACATACCATGGACTCATCTGACTAGTTGCTAAAGGTCACTAATCCGTTCATTAGGTCTTTCAGTTTTGGGCTGCTATAGTTTAGAGTCAACGAAATATCATTTCAACTACAGAAAGTCGATGCGGATCAGGATGTCATGCCATCCAGGATATGAAAATCAAGAGAGACAACAGCTAGTCTTAAATCAGTGTGGAAATCTGCTGCATGAAGCACAAGGAGCAAGATTCAGATATTAAGCACTAATGTTAGATCAGTGCCTCTACATGTTCCACATACTTGATGTGCACATCATGAGAAGTATTTCCGAAAGGTCACAACAGACTTTCATTAATAGTTAGCTACCTTCGCTTCATCAGAAAGGGTAAGCACCAAGGAACTTTGGCAGTCAACGAATCAATCAAAAATATACCTCCCAAAAACCATATGGAAGAAAATGGAGATGGAATGAACACACACTGAGTAGACCGTTGAATGACATTACGTGTGACGCAAGCCTCTGAGTGGGCCCCGAATGTGAAACAACGACTCAAGCGTCGGTGTGAGAATTACATGGAGGAGATCATGTGAAGAGGAGGTGAAAGCTTATACGCAGTCATGGGGCCAGCTGAAAAGGACTACGGAGAAGAGAGTAAAATGGCGATCTACCGCTGGAGCCCTATGTTCCACTTAGAACCCAAGGGAATACTAATATTAATAATAATAAAATAAGCATTTTAGTTTCAGTATCACATAAAAATAATTACTTACCTAGAAATGATAAATATGAACTACTATGACATAAAAACTTAATAAATGGTTTCTTCATCATACTACCCATTTTTGAATGTGGTGCTAACATATAAAATGTAGCCAATATTGGAAACATTGAACATAATACACCGATAGTTGTTAACTGGGCAAACATTGGCTTCTGACGAAATCCAGGTAGACCTTCATACCAGATTGCAGCTAATAATTGTTGACAATGCGGGTGGGCTACAAACTGATAGAAAAGTATTAGTATAAGTGATTAGAAAATGATAAGAATCTTTGTACAGCGATATATACATATAAGACAGTAATGACTAACTGGTGAAGCCCCGTTGCATGGGTTAAAAAGTTGCAGGCAAATTTATATACCCTGTTGCACAAGTGGTGGCTCTTGTGGCCCAAATGATCTGGTGAACAACGCTTTGGCGTTTGAAACTATGGGTACTGGATTCGAGTCACAGTGGGAACAACATCACTCACTGGGAGTTTCAGGCACATGCAGTTGATGAGTCCCAAATAGGAGAAAATTCTCATCTTGGATTCCACTGCTAGTCACCATCCACCCAATAAGATCAAATTTACATCTTGTTCAGTAAATTTTCTTCAGGTTCTTGAAGTTACGAAATATAATATTTCCGATAATGGTCATTTATGCAGATGGAATGGTTGAGAAGAACCATTATTTCTGCATCCAAAATTCAAGAGAGATATACCATTGGAGATTGTACCTCAGCTTCCAACCAGAGCGACAAAGAGGACTTTCTACTCTGGAAATCTGCGCCTATCTCTCAGTAGCTGTTTAGTATTCACGCAGAAACTGAAAGGCATCTTACCTAGTCTTAGCTCCTCCTCCTCGTGTACATACCGTTTTAACTGTTCCTGGGGTTCGACTTTACATAGGACGTGAGATTGGATAGATTCCTTTACGGATTGGAGACTTTTCTACCAGTTCCGTTCAGAAAACGGGTGAAGTCGGATACATACCTGATAGATACAGGACATTACAGTAACTCTGAAATAGTCTTTTGGGATTATATACATCACATTCTGAAGTCATTAGCATTCACAGTTCGCCTACGTCTTCTACATATTAGCTGAAGGTGTGGCAATTAGATTGGCTTAACAAGAACTTTGTATTCAAAAAGAACACATTCAGACATTGTCCCTACGTTGTCCAGACTTAGAACAAATGCGTTTCTCCCCTCCAACAAGCCTTTTCCTCAGCTGATTATTTTAGCTTCCTCTTCTCTTCATCCTAACAGTTTTAGCCACAGTTTCTTATACATTTTACCCTTCATTCTATCATTTTTCCAGCTGTTGAATTTTCCGCTCAATCTATTCTGAGGTATTATTAGTGATATTATCTCCTTCTTCAATGTATGACTCCACCTGTTTCTTTTCGAATGCTGACTATGTCGTGATCATCTGTTCACCTGTCTTACTATTTCCTCTATTTTACACTAGCCACTCACTTAATACCTTTTATAACCTTGAACTGACGAGTAATTGTTTTCTTCTCCACACTGTATGAATCTGTAATGACTAAACACCGTCTCGCATTTAGCATATTTGTGACACAAATATTATTCACTTTGTCATCCCATAACTATTGATCTGTTATTCTACTCAAAAAATGTTTCCTTTGCATAACTTGCTATTAATATAGCGATACATATTTTATTTGATTACTAAACTTTGAAGAGTGGAATTTATTGAGACGAATGTTCTTCTGTATTAGTTGTGTTCTCTGAGCTGCCAGTTGATTCAATTGAGAAGCGTTCGTCGTCCACCTTCTAGACAACATCCCCTTTCAGCACAGGTTTTAGTATAAAATGAACTCATTTAAATTCTCCATGAATGATGACATAATTGTATCTCCTGACAACCATCTTCGTGACTGCTTGTTAATTTACGTCTCTACTGATCATTTTTATTGACTTGGAATTCTGACTTTCTTGTCGTCTGATTTACTTTTTATTAAATGGTAAATTTGTTAAACACCAATGTGTTTGCTAATCGCTCTCTGATCCACTTAAGGACCAACCAGGCTTCTAGGAATTTCCTGACTGCATTTTTGGTGTTTCCTTTATTTAAAATTTCGACATTATCCCAATCATCAAATTGGTGTCCATAATTATCCATATGCATTGATGTGAAAGAACATATATCATGTCTTTTCATCACAGCTAATTTGTGTTCTTGGATTCGGATTCGAATTGGGGACGCCCACTTTGACCAATGTAATGTTTATTGTAAATGGTATTAATTTTATCTTCCTTTTCTGTTGGGTGGATCTCTCGGTTTACGCAATATTGAATGAAGTGATTTCGCTGGATGGCTGGTTCGCTGTCTGGCTTGTCTGTGTGCTATATCTATTTAAAACGGTCTTAATATTCTAGGAGTTATTTCAGAAATATTTTCACTTGTATATGGTAGGCTGAATTTTCTTGTGGTCTTTGATGTTAGCTGGCTAAATAGGACGTTCGTCGAGAAACATATCCCGCTGCGTTCGAAAGCACCTTCCAGTTTGACTGAGCAAAGGAGAAAGTGGAAGTATTAATTCATCGATATTGCAGTATATTGCAGATATTAACCCACAGCATCTGATGCATCGTTTAATAGAGTCTACAAAGTCCGACAAATTTTGCCGAAAGGGAGCACACGAGTGCATTTGCTTTGTATAGCAGAGGCTTTGGTGATACATAACATTAAGCCAGAACTTTGTGTACAAAAATGGCTTGTAGGATCTCTTCCGTTACCATGGTCTTGATTTTACTATGTAATTCACATAAAAAACTATGTTACCCTTCTTTATTCCATAACCCATTTTTGTTATCGTATTCTAGCATTTTATCTAGTCTACTATTTTGACAACAATTCGGTCATTCTCTGTCTTCACCATATTATATTCACGCATTCACATTTACGAATGTACTTTATTTTCCGATGATCATCTATTTCACACTTGTCTGTTGAACTTTAGGTTGACCACTCTTTATTTATTTAGTTATTCATTCATATTTCTAATCCATTGTGACTCATTATCCTATACGCCAATATTATCGCAATTTAGTATTTCCACTCAACGTCAAACTTTAACACACAGAAGAAAACTGATTGCTATTGTCTATTGTAACTCATATATACAGCTATGAAAATGAAATCGTTGAAAAGAGAATTTTTCTTCTCTGAATTCTTTGTTTTTACGTCTAAGTGGGGAATAAAAGTCAATCTGAACGAGGAATATTCTTTGCAATAATTTCTCCTCTTCAGCTTCTTACAATTATAAAATATAGTATTATACATATATATATATTTATATTATATTTTGTATACTATATTATTATATACTATTTTATATATATATGTATATATATATAATATATATAAAATAATAATATCAAACCAGAAATAAACTTCAAAGTTATCTACAGAATACAAGGCAATCTTGCTAAAAGTGTACGGATCAAACTTCTCCACATCGCAGAAGCAATGGCAATTCATCTGCTAAATCCTGAACTCTGCATACAAAAAAATTCGTTCATTCATTAAATCTACAATGGACGTAATCTTTCTTAATTTCAGTCTTACTAAATTGTATTATTTTGTCTTTTGCATTTTATTATTTCACATCTTCATTTATATTATTCTCTACCCCACCCTTTTGTAATCTCTACCCTCATTAACAATGTTGCTAACTTGACCCACGTCCAATTTCTAGTCACCAATGTTACGTCATCCGATTAACTTACTTATTTTCAACTGTATTATTCTCTACCCCCACCCTTATTTAATTTTAACCACCACTCATTAACACTGTTGCCAACCTGACCTACTCTGAATTCTACTCAATTGCATTACGTCATCCAATTCACTTAATCAATTCCACTGGGGGCCTCATCAATGTGCATCTACCAATTCACCTGCTCATGTGGAGCTAGGTATGTCGGCCGTACCCAGCGTTTGCTATCCAAACGAATCAGCGAACACTTACCTTCATGGTTTTATAAAGGAGAAAGAAGATCCCCCCGCCACAGCTCTATCCTAGAACACTTGATCGAATCCGGACACCAAGCAAACCCACAAAACAACTTATCAGTTATCTACACAATACGTGGGAATCTCGCCAAAAGGGTACGAATTAAACTTCTTCAAACTGCAGAAGCAATGGCAATTCACATATTGAATCCTGAACTCTGCATACAAAAGAAGTTTGTTCAGTCACTAAATCTACAATGGTCCTGATCTATCTCAACACCAAATACGTAATTTTGTCTTACCTGTTTCTTCTATGTTTGTCTGTTTCTTAATTGAATTATTTTCTACCCCCACCCTCTATTAAATCTCTACCCTCATGACGACTGTTGCTAACTCCATTTTCGTTTATTTTTAAGTGAATTCTACTCAGCTTATTAACTTAACTCTCATTCATTTTCAAGTGAATTTTACTCAGATTATTAACTTGACTCTCATTCATTTTTCATTGAACCCTATCAATTACCTACTTTTGTAACTTTATTTTAGTTTCTAACCGATTAACGCCTTCTAAATTACGTAATTTGTTGTCAAAAAAGAAATTAACAATTGCATCAACACATCTTTGGAAATATTCCTTTTGTTGCCAAGAAAAATTACTATAAATTTGCGGTTTGTACACCTTGAGAATGATATCGCCAAAAAGAGTAACTCTTTGCTGAACGCCTTTTCTTTTCTAATTCTATTTCATTTTCTATCCTAACGTTTGTTTCCAAGCCAAATAATACTTATATTACATAATTATCTAAACTTTATAAATCTAATGTACACACACACACAAATAAAATTGTATATATATGCGATTGTACAGCTCAGTGAATGAATTCGCCGAAAAGAGTCTCTTCGCTGAACATCTTTTCTTTTATATGACTGAATGGGGATTTTCAAGTTAATATAATATTTGTTGTTGTTACAATAATGATAGCCAGTTAGTTATGCGGCGGGTACATTTTTTAACGTAGAATAACAGATTAGCGGTTATGGGGTCGTATTTGTGTGACAAACGTGCTAGGTTGAAATCGATTTCAAAATATTGTCAATTGGGAGACAATGGTGGTGATTAGTCATAATAGATTTGTAGAATGTGGAGTAGGAAAATTGACACGTCAGTTCAAGGTTACAAAAGGCGTCAGGTGAGTGAGTGGCTAGTACAAAGTGTTATGTATTAAACAGGAGATAGTAAGACTGCAATGCGAAGTTCATAATGAAATAGCCAATGGGGAATATTCGTTAAATATTTTCATAAACATACCTTTTTTTGTTCATATCTAATAGCTAATTTCAATCGTGACAGTTGCATACGTTCACTAATATCACCAGAATAGGATTGTCGATCTATTCCACCAACATGACAACCGGTTGAATCCCCTCCAGTATCATGATTCAGTACAACTGACAATTCAGCTGAACTACGTGTTTGTGCTAACATATCAGTAGCAAATTGTTGACATTTCGCTTCCATTTCTTCATAATCAGACTAAAGGAAAAGAGATCATCGTATTTTTTAAAAAAAAGTAAAGGATATGACTGGTATTTTTTAAAATTCTTAAAATAACTCTTTTAGAAGCACTCATCAAATCGCTGGAAGTGCGTATTTCTATTTACAAAAACATAACTACGTTATCTGGAAGATTTCAAGTCATTTCTCAGTATTGAGGCCCAAATTCAAGAGGAATGTTTAATGTACGAGTGTGATTTTGTTATTGTGGTTAAAGGAAAGTTTAATTATCGAAGAAATGAACTGTTATTATCATTCCATTGGGTTCCGAGTGGAACACAAAGCTTCAGCTATACTTCTCCATTTTTCGGAATTCTTTGTAGTCATCTTTTACTGGCTGAACGACTAGACACGTCGCCTTCGCAGTAACACTCAACTCATCGCTTTCCATTCGTGTTCCACTCGAGCGACGCGAGTTTCATCAATGTGCATCCAATTCCTCTTCGTTTCCTTCAGAATATCTGTTGGGCGATAGATTTCCCAGAGTTCCTTGTTGTTATCCTTTCTGGTTGTTCATCAAATCTTCAGTTTCGAGTCAACGAAGTCAGGTGTTAATGAAAGTCTGGAGTGACCGGTTGGAAGTGCTTTCAACGATGTTTGCGCAAAGTCTAAGGACCAGTATAGAAGCAATGAATGACTTGACACTAATGTTAAAACCCGAATCTTATTCATTACACTGAGTGAGGTGGATTTTTGCACTGATTTCAGATTGAATAATAATAATGATAGTAACTTTATTCCAAATAGTAATAATTATACATAGTGGAATTTTCAGCGTATTTATGCATATTACAACAATTTAGCTCCTTTTATAAATATGTACATACACAAAATTTAATGTAGTATAATGTTAATAATGAAACCACTAAAAACAGAATGTTGGTTGAAACATAATGAAGTATAAGTAGATAGTATCATAGATAATATATGTATTAATAATCTTTCCTTATACTTTGCAGTTCAGCTACTGATTTAACAAGTTTATAAGTTCTTTTCTGACATCTGACTCTCTTCACACAAAATCTGTGCTAAATATGGTGGTATGATAGAGTTTTTATATTTAATAGCTGTACGAGCTTAAATTCTTATGAAGTTTCTTCTGGTTTTACCCCCAATAGAGATGCAAGGAGAAAGTTGTGGATAAAGAGAATGTTTGGTATCAGGCAAGATAACCTTAGCCAAGTGCTTGCAAGAATTGAAGTGCCTATTAACTAAAGTGTCAGTTAGCTGAGTCTAAGGCACACCACTAACCCTGCCTACTAACAATCATCAGTGTTCTACGTAACATGACATAATCTTTTTTGAGAAGTCCAGGGAACAGTGAGCAGAATACACGAATTAACAAACTGTAATAGAAGAGGTTGAGTTATTCCCGAAAGTCGCAACTTCTTTGTGTAATATGTCAAACGAAAGATATCCTTCCTAGAAATCAACAGGCTGTGAGACGACCAACAGAGATTCGAAGAGAAACTGACGCCGAGATGAGAGATATTCGCTTTACTCCCTATCATCACGCTGCCGTCAATATCACAGGAATCATTCGACTGAATCAGCCAGTTAGCGCAAGTTCGCATCGGAAATTAAAATCACCAATATGCCATTGAGATGGATTTAGTTTAAGACCATATAGGTGAGTCCAACTTGTTACCTTCAGACAAGAATCCACTAATATAAGAACAATCCAAAGTAGAAACTACTGGGACAGAGATGGTTAGATCATCGGCATGTTTAATGAGGTTAGCTTTGGAAGAACATGGAAGCTCACGCAAAAGGGGAGAAAAAAAGGAATGGAGCGAGTACAATGCCCCGACGCACACCAGTTTCCTTTAGTAGCGAAGTGGAGCACTTTCCAATCTAAACAGTATGTTGTTTTCGACCAGAAAAATAAGAAGACAGCTACTTTGTGACCCAAGACTCAGTGTTTGCTGAAGTCAGCTTGCTTAGTAAAAATGTCTCTGGCTTTAATATTCTCATCCAAGCTGACCTGGTCTATTTTTATTACTTTTTTAATCTTTATCTATTTGTTTGATTATAGCTTGATTCCACACCATAATTTTGGTATAAGTATAGAATTTTCAGCATGTGATATCGGTAACCCAAATTTTGCAGGCCGACTATTGATATCAGATTTACGTCGGTAGGGGATCGAACCCCGGGCCATGCGCATGGTTGAAGAGAGTCCTAACCGCTGTACCACCGATGCAGGTAGGTCAGTGACTCCCTTCAAATCTCTGGCGTTGATGGTAACCGGTGCTTCTTGTTGTTGTTGGTAGTGGTGGTGGTGGTTAGATATCACATCAACTATTACGAATCAGTCCGACCTGTATGAGCAAGCACTCAATGTATTCACATTTCGTGTAGGTGAGTGTTCTGATTTGTAGATATTCAACCTGTTTTATGATCGGATTCATTCATAAAACAGTGAGTCATACTGGTTTGTGTTGGAGGGTTATGCAAACTGAGTATATTGTGCGTTTGACATTATCCATACCTATGGTTGCTGTCTGATGGACTGGCTGTCTGAATTTCAATTATCTTGAAAAGACAGCCTCTGTACCAAAGAAAGCTACCTTTATTAACCTATCATTCAAGGGTGACCAGATTATGCAGCTGACAGCTCAAAGACTTCCGTCAGCCATCAAACACACATTCTACGCTGCATCTCTTTCCCTCACATGCCGAACCTTTTCGATCCCTGTACCAACGATTGAAAGACGAAATTCTGTGGAGTCTACTTCAAACTGTATCCACAAGTTCACCTGCAGTTGCGGTAACACTTGTATAGGCAGAACCAATAGAATGTTCCAATGTCATCCAAAAGAACGTGTTCCAAAATTCTTATTAATACACATGGAAAATCCCAATACAATTATTAATCTGAATGGAAATCCATCATCATCCATTGCAAAGCACTTTATTAATGTCAGGTCACAAAATCAATATTCATGACTGCTTCACAATTATTTCACATAACTCTAATTCAAGGTTGACTATTAAAGGTGATTGGACAAGCACTTTTTGGATTAATCACATACAGCCTAAACTGTGTGTACAAAAACAACACAATAGACTTCAATCTTCGCCTACCATGGACTACTTGACCTATTTAAACATGATTGGTCATTAGTATGTACCTTTGTTTTACTTAAATGAGTAATTGTCACGCTTATTTATTTTATCATTGTGAACCATGTTATTTGTAAAGAGGTTGTAACGAAACTACAAAATGACGATATCATCTCGCGAAATTTATCTTCTAAATGCTTTATTCAAATCCTAATAATAATAATACACGATTACTACTCCAGTCTGTGTAGTTCATATTTGATTCTGAATATAAGTTCGAGTAAGTACTAATTCAGGACTCCTTAACTCGATCATAAAAATACTAGCACACTTGGCTTCGTGAACAGGCTCAGGATCATCAAGCAAGACACCACCTGTCTTAAAGGAAATATAGAGTATTTATTTGAGAAATTCGATATTTAAAATACTGTCCTCTGAAAGCCGAGAAATACTTGGATCGATTCAAACTACAGTGTATTACGAAGAAGATCAATGATAGCAATAAGATAGGTATTTTTCCTTACTTCAGCTAGAAAAGGGCGTTATTCCCATCCTAACAACTTTATCATATCCCAAGCCTGTTGGATATCAGCCTTATGACGAATTTATTCATTCAGCACTTTATGCCAAGAAATGTAAAGATCGAAGTTTAATTCTTTGATAAGACCAACCCATAGGTCTGTAAAAGAATCCATAATTCAATTACAATCAAACGTGGTCAAATGTCATTTCGACGACCAGCTAAAGATGCAACTGAGAGACGGGTTAGTTGCCGGTATCAATGAGCAAAGTCTGTATTCCAAACTGCTAATGGTAGCAGATTTAACATTCCAAGATGATAAGGTGATGTATGAAATACATTTAAGAAGTTCAGGAAGTGAACATACAAATCAGTATGTCTCATTTTTTTAATGAATGAATTAGATATGAGATGACTAATATTTCCAAATCAGTACAGTTGTAACTACAGAAGACAAGAGCCAGTCAACGGATCGTTTATTGAGAAAATCAACAGATGTTAATAGATTTTTCCGGCGTAGAATCAACGTCTTCTGACTGATCATTTTCTCGCTGAAGCTTATTCCGTCACCTATTTGTGATCGTTTCTTAGACAGTTAAGCCACACATTAAGTCCGCTGTGATTGGTTGATGAGTTCCTCAAGGTTAAGCTTTGTTGTTGTTTTTCTCATGACCCTGATTCGTGACGTAACACTGACGTAAATTTCTGTCTGCAATGTTGGATTGTTCGCAGCCAGCTTTCATCACCCAGTGACTAAATATTAATTTGTTATGGTTCCACCATTTTTCCTCTACCCCCCTGACTGCAACCATGGGTTTCATCAGAAAAATCTACCACTGATACTGAAAACCAACCGTAGGTCTGTACGTCAGCAGTTCAGTGGTAGAAAGCTTGACAACCATTCAGGTGTTCCAGATTTCGGTTTCTGATCGATGCACTCCAAAGCCACGCTTAAACGTTAGAAAGCCTGATAAATAGGAAAGATTGCGCTTGAAGGTAACAATCATACCCTGTGAAAAACAGTAAAACTGGCACTACGAAAACATTACAGCTCAAGCTTAAAGTCCCATGTTCCTCTGGGAACTCAAAGAAATGGAGAAAAATGACGTTTACAAGTTTTCAAGTATTGGTTTGTAGGGATTTGATTGATTGGTTACAGGATTTCATCATGAGCTGACATTGGGTAGAGAACCATTGGAAAACCTGGGAGTACTGGGCAGCTGTTTCGTTCGCCTAGTTTGGGACTCTTCATCAGTGCGCACCCACTGCGGTTCGAACCCAGGACCTTCTGGTTACAAGGTTAGCGAGCTAGCATACCATTGAGCCACTAGTACCCGACCCAATGGCCCACGAATTCTAACTTCTGCCAATTCACGAGTTTACAAGAACACAATTATAAGATCTCAAAGATTAAACAATACAACTCACTCGAAATTCATTTTCCAGTTGACCTAATTTCTTCAATTCCCAACTTAATTCAAATGCTGTTAAAATTGGATCATTACTTGTTAATATTATAAATGATGGACTTGTTAAAGCTCGATATGTATTAATTCTTAACTTTGAATGTTGTAGTCCATCTTCTCGTCTCGCCTGTGTACATAGATTACATGCACAGCGTAAATCATGCGGCTTTGGAATACGATCACCACGATCAAGTAATAACTTTAAAATGACATAATTATCACGATGTGCTGCTAGAATAATACCATTAATATCTGGTGTAAACATTGAGGACTGGAAACGTCCAAGTAATCCCTAAGTAGACAATAAAGCAGGAAGAAAGAAAGAAAGAAAGTAAGTGGAAACAAGTTGAATTAGAAATACAAATGAGCGCTCAATTCATTACATTTTCATTTAAATTCCAGCCATCATTATCCTGATGGTCGAATTCGCCACTGCCAAGTATCTCCTTGACACGGGTCATCAGGTGAACGTCGCAAGATCATTCAAAATTATCAATAGGCAAAAGAGCTTATTCCTCAATCAAGTTTGTTGAAGACATCTCCATCAAGCTCCTGAAACCTGATTTGTGCGTTCAGAAAGAAACAGTTGTCAGCCTTTCTTTGCCAACCTGGTAAATGGATATTTTCATCGCTCTTTCATCTGAATGGGTAATACTGAAAAGTTTCCATTGTGTATAACCATTATTGTTCGGAATAGTGTTTAATATTATATATTATTACTGTATGCACTCCATTATGGATAAGATTTTATTTTGATAAGTCTCACAGTGTTATTATTTTTTTCCTTCATGTTCCCCAGTGGAACATAGGGCTTCAACCTAGTGGCTTGAAGTTTCTGTAGCAGTGTTTATTTTACAGGATGGGGTTGCCAGCCTCATGCCCAACCTTTCCTCTTCACCAGCGTTATTTCTGGCTTGGCGAGGTAAAGGAGACACAGTGTTACACAGTAATATTAACTGTTGACGTTTCGAGCACAAACTTTTGCTCATAATCATATCAAGTTACTCACACAACTTTTTTACTTCATCTATATACATGTGTGGAATTGACTAGATATTTGAATAAAAATCAATATAGGATAATGTACATTCGGAAATAATAATATGAGTGTTATTGATCAATTACAGTCAGATGGGTGGCATTCAAACCTACAAACTCGCTCAGAGACAAGCTCTGTAGGCTAAAAGACCCGGTGGACCCAATTAAACAAAATAATATAATTTAAAAAATACCTTGCAATGAGTGTGAGGTTAGCTATATAGGTCAAACTAGTAGATCGGGGGTAATCAGATTGTCGGAACATAAGAATTTAGCTAAAGTAAGAATGGCTGACTCCAAGAAGATAAGTAATTTAGAAAAAAGCTCAGCAATTGCACTACATGCATTAACACACAATCACACAATAGGGTGGGTGGGACAGAGTCAACATTCTAAGAAGTAATCTATGTAGGTGGAGAGAGAGATTGATTACTGAATCCTGGTTCATTGAGTCTACACCCAACACATGCAACAGAAATGACTCAATGCAAATACCAGAAATATGGAAGATATTACCACCAGTCAGTCAAATCAGAAGAGGATAATAAATAATCTTAAAATTCTATTTCAATTCACGTACATCATAACATTCTAACAAGTAACTTATTATGACTATAAAAACACTCGTCTTATTTCCCATCTGATTGTATTTGATTGATAACACTCATATTATTATTTCCGAATGTACATTATCCTATATTGATTTTTATTCAAATGTCTAATCATCAATTTTACTCATGTATATAAATGAAGTAAAAAAGTTGTGTGAGTGACTTGATATGATTATGAGTAGCAATAAATTGTGCTCGAAACGTCATCAGTTAATATTACTGTGTAACACTGTGTGATTTATCAAAATAAAATCTTATCTATAATGGAGTTATACTCTACCACAGTGCCCAAGTTTGATACTTATATTACTGTATGCATATATTGATTGATTGATTTTTGTTTAAAAATGAACTCTGTGCAAGTATGTTAAAACTGTTTCTGTAGATATATTTAAGAATGACTTTGGCCTATAAGCAGCTGAGCTGATAAGAAGCCAACGAAATAAACAATCATGGTACCATTTTATTCTGCAAAAACTTTTGTTCTTGCTTTATTCAAATTCGTAATTTGTAAATTAATTAACGATTCTAGTTTACACAGTTTGAAGTGTGATAAAATTACATCATAGTTGACGTGATCGGCATGATACCATAAATGTTGATCAAGAAGGTAAAAATATTTGCATAAAAATTGTATACTACTGATTGATTGAGATAAGTAGTAGTTGAATACGAATCACATCATCCAATGATTATGTGACTGATGTTAGTTCGTAACGAAATCTACAGTAGAACTAATTCAAATCCTTATGAAATCCATAATCTAAAGATTACGCTGACATGACAACTCCAGATTCGATAATTTTATCCCTTAAATCAATTTTCAAGAGTTGGGGTTTGTAAGGATTAGATTTGCTTTTTACGAGTTCGATCACGGATTGATTTCAGTTAGAGAACCAATGAAAACCCAACAGGGAGTACTGGACAGCTGTCTCATCCTAGTTTGGGAATCATCACCAGTACGCACCCACCACCAGGGTTCAAACCCAGGGCCTTCCGGTTACAAGACAAGCTGGCTCGAATACCATTCAGTCACTGGGACCCAATTCAATGGCCAACCCATGAATTCTAACTTCTACCAATTCGTGATTTAGTGTGACCACCAACCAACGTCGTCAGTGGGACATCCATCCTCACACGTGACATCTGGATGGACCTCACTGCTCACGACTTCTCACTAGAACTCCAGGAAACTCCATCCTGTAGCAAGTCACTAGCGAGCATCAGATTAATTTTCTATAGTTTGGTTTGTAAGGATTAGATTTGTTTTTTTACGAGTATGACCACGGATTGATATCAGCGTTATTTAACATAGTAAAAGCTTGCATACTAGGAGCCGAAACATTAGTCCAATCCCATCAAACAAAACAGGTTAATAACTGATAGTCGTTGCATAAGATTAGAGCTGTTGTGATTCAGTAGTCTAGCCACTTTGGTGATTGAAACAGTAGGTGTTAAGTTCCAGTCTCAGTGAGGACAAAATCATTCACTTCATGAGCAGGTAAAACCAGTTGACAAATTTCAAGTGGGATGAAAAATGCATCAAGATCCCCACAGGTAAGCGCCATCAAATCAATGGCATATAGTTAAAAGCAATTCATTCATTATAAAAGAACTAATGGTGAATGTCTTTTTGAGTTTAATTTAGAAGCTGCAGTAAAATAAATTGCTTGATTATTTTATTTTCAAATCGTGGAAAATACCCATCGGGACATTACACGGAAAAGAACAAGAAGTTCAGCAAAGATATCTGTCTTTTCGGAGATTTCATTCTCAAAAGCAGCTGTACAATCGCATTTATATACGTTAATTTACATGAATACAATTATTATTATTTAATTCCACATAGCAACGAAGGAGATAATAATTTTCAACTTGATATGAAAGTTTGAAGGTGCGAATATAGATTACAAGGGGCTCAGAGACAAGATTGCACAGGATTAGATAACAGTTACAACGTATGCATAATTAATATTTGATAACTGGAGAAATCGTTTTAAAAGCGAATAAAAGGTGATAATTGTTTTCAACTTGATATGAATTACAAGAGGCTTAGAACGAATTACAGGTGTGAACAAAATGAGCATGGAAACAAATTGAAATCAAAATTTTCAACTTGAAATGTAAGTTAGGAGGTGTGAATATAGATTACAAGAGGCATAGAAACAAAAAATTACACAGGATTAGAATATAATTGTAAAATGGTAATTGTAAACTGATTACAAGTGTGATCAGGAGGGCCATGGAAACAAACTTAAAATAACTGATTTTATAACTGAAAAAATTGGATGAATTGAATGAAGACATACGTTGTAACTGTTTTCTAATCCTATGCAATCTTGTCTCTAAGCCCCTCGCAATTCATATTCGTACCTTCGAACTTTCATATCAAGTTGAAAATTATTATCTCCTTCGTTGCTATGTGGAATTAAATAAATAATAACTGTATCCATGTAAACTAATCTATATAAATTCGATTGTACATCTTTTGAGAATGAAATCTCCGAAAAGATAACTTTGCTGAATTTCTTGTTCTTTTCCCTTTATTTTTTGGAATGTTTCGCTGATGTCAACTTCCTGTTACACAAAACGGTTGTGTTCACCGAGATCACTTTGGAAATTTCTTGAAATGAATTTGCTTGTTTAAACAGACTCGCGTAAATTAGATGGTTGGAGGCCGTCGGCTGGAAGCCTTGCTTGACCTAGGTTTCGTGGTAGTTGGCACTGACCAGTCAGTAAGGCGTATCTGCAACCTTGAAGGAACTCACGTCCCTTCCGAGATTCGAACGCGCGTCACCCAATGCTGCAATCAGAGGCGTTACCAAGAGACCTAGGTCGTGGACTTCCAGCTCATTGTCTCCAACCATCCAATGTCAACAATTCAAAGCGCACCATGATGGTGAGCCACTTATCATGGTGGCCACATTGCAAACTTGATTGATAGAATACAGTCTGCAGCAAACGGAGGATTAGACACATTAAACTAGTAGCTAACAAGTGTCCAATCAAAAGACTCGCGTAAATCTGAAATCCAGAATGGTCAAATGAAACACCTATATTTAATGTTAGTTATTATCAGATTACTGAAATAGCAACCTACTTTACCTACCCTCCAACCTGTGAGGCATCGTCTTAACTACAGGCGGAACTGATGAGTATACCAAAACAAGAATCGGGAAAGCAAGACAAGCTTTCACTACTCTCAAGTCTGTGTGGAGGTGAACAGCACTCAGCATCAAAAATAAGTTCCGGATTTTCAACTCCAATGTGAAGTTAGTGCTACTATAAGGATCAGAGACTTGGCCTTCATCAACAGCTGCCATTTACTCAATACTCAAGATCCATTGGCCAGAAAAGATCAGCAACAGGGATCTCTGGCAATGAGCGAACCAACCCAGATAGAACCGACTGTGCAACAAGTAAGCAGGAAGAAATGGAGATGGATTGGCCACCATACTCTGAGTAAACCATCAAGTGAGTGACATCGCACACCAGGCCGTCGCTCTAGTGAAGCCCCAAATGGAAGCGGTGAGGTAGTCGTAAGTGCGAGGGTGACATGGAGGAGGTCATGTGAGGAGGAGGTGGAAGCATGTGGGCAGACGTGGAGCCAGGTGAGAAAGTTGGCAGAGAACCGAACGGAATG